AAAAAAGTTTTTTAAAAACAACTAGTTTAATCTGTTTTTTTTTTCAGTTCACAAATCAGAAAGGTCAGTATCAAACTAGGACAGAGGAATGTAAACCTTTCTTAGGTAACCTGCTATGATATGTAAATTTACTACTGTGGTATGAATTTATTCTTCTATATAAAAAAAGTTACTGCCAGGTGTGATGGTATAGGCCTGTAATCCCAGAACTCAGGAGGCTGCAAGGCCGGCCTGAACTACACAGCAAGACTCTGTCTCAAAAAAACAACGCAAACAAACAAACAAACAAAAAACAAAGTTATCACACCAATAGCTAAAGCTCGGAAATGCTTCAATTAAACACCACAATCTGAGTATTTCAAATTAATTGCTATCCAAGGATATAATTTAAAATAGGAAAACTAAATGCAATAGAGTACTATACAACATGGTGACTGTAGTTAATAATACATATTCTTAAAAACTGCTAGGACAGTACATTTTAAAATCACCTCACCACAGAAAGAGATAATACATGTTGTAATTACCTTGATTTAGCCACTCCACAATGTATACGTATTTCAAAACATGTTGCACAAGATATATTCAACTTTTTATTTCTCAATTAAAAAAAGTTAATTAACGTTCTAAAAAATTTAGTAAAAATTTCAACAAAGGTAAGATCTAGCAGACATTTGTAAATTGAAGTATTGAAGATTTGTAAAATTAGTATTAAAGATTTAAGTACTTTCACAGGAAGGCAGAGTAAGTAGGCATGGCTGTAATGATTTGGTGTCTGGGATTTGCTTTTAAAACTTCCAGTAAAATCCAGGCATGGTAATGCATACTTGTAATCTTAGCACTCTGGGAGACTGCAGCAAGAGGATCTCAAGTCTGAGCCTAGCTGGGCAACCTAGCGATTTAGTAAGACCCTGTCTCAAAATAAAAAACAGAACATCAATCAGTAACTGATGAAACAAGGTTACTGGCACACTGGCATTCACTGTATTAGTCTTTTAGTTTATGCATGTTTGAAAATTTCTCTAATATAGTTTTGAAGTTTTGAACTATTATATTCATTATGAAGAACTTATAAGGAAGTATCAAATAATGAAGCATCCGCTGACAATCTAGAGTACTACCCCATGTGATGCAAAAGCATCATTCAGTGGAGGCATGGAATGACTCACCTCCTTCAACTCCGGCCAGTCTATAAGGACAAGTTTAGCAGGAGGTCCAGAAATGAGCTGCACTCGAATAAAGTCAGAAAATTCACGCCAAGTGAAACAAAGATCCTTATATCCAGGAGGACCTGGAACAAACTTGATTCCTCGTACATTTATACTTTGTGAGTTTTCCTAGTGAGGAAAAGTACATCAAGAAAAGACAGGTATTACTTAGCTTTTTAAAAAAGAAAATGTTTTGTCATTTACCACTGGCCATACAGATAAATAGATTGCACCTATGCCACCAATGACGTATCAAAAAGCTTATTTTCACAAGAGGAGACACGTGCACACCCATGTGTACAGCAGCACAGTTTGTAATTGCTGTATCTTGGAGGCAGGCCAGAAGCCCATCAAGTGATGAATGGATAGAGAAGATGTGACTTTTTGATACAATGGAGTGCTATGCTGCCATAAAGAAGGATAAGCTTGAAACATTTCTAGCTGCGTGAATGCACCTTGAGACCATACTCTTGAGTGAAAGGAGCTGGACACACATGGGCAAATACTTTGCTGTTTCTCTGAGGTGAGAGACTAAAAGTGTAAATAGGGATCAGAGGTATGGTGGATATTGTGAAATGGGAAGAAAGTGCTCATACGGGAGGGGGAGCGAGGGAAGGGGGAAGGGGAAAGGAGAAGAAAAAAACGAGAAAGAGGGAAACATGGAAACAAGGCTTTTATGGATGAAGAGGAGAAGAGGGGTTGGGGGGAGGAATGGGGAAAAAGAATCAAGTTATACCATGTGCAGGATCCCTATGATGAATGTGGTCATCGTGTGTACCTGAAGTGTACCAATAGACTTAATTTTTTTTAAAAAGAGGAGAAACAAATTTTTTTCATTTTTAGGGGGAGCATCTAAAAGGTTTTGGCTACATTCCCCCTCTTCTACCCCCTACTTTATACACACTGAATATATCAATTGAACATATCCCTTATCTGAACTGCTTGAGACCACAAGTGTTTTAGATTCTGGACTATTTGCACAGACTTTACTGGTTAAGTATTCCTCATCAAAATGTAAAATTTTCTGAGTGTATGTCAGTGCCCAAAGAGTCCCGGCATACTCTCTTTCACCATTACCCTGTAACAGCCAAGGGTGTGCATGCCTGAGAATCTCAGCACTGTGCTCTTTCCTGCTACCTGTGCTTTTCCTTACCAGACAGCTCCGTGGCTTATTTTTTTAGGTAACTGCACAACAAAAAGGGTCTTCGCAGCCACCCTAAGGACATCCCATTATTTTATCTACTTTATTTTTCTACTTGCTCTCTCTTTGATATAGAGATCTCTACATGGATAAGGACTTTGTCACTGCTCAACCCCTTACTTGTAGTAATACCTAACACATCATATTAATGGAAATCAATAAAACTGATCAATAATCTTTGCTATATGACTAAATAATCTTGAGTGATTTCACAATGGTATAACGCCTGCAGCATTCACATTTTAAGTGACCTCTAGTTTTTTGTTTTTTGGGTTTTCTTAGTACGGCAATTGAACTCAGGACCTTGTACTTGCCTGGCAGGTGTTGTGCCACTGAGCTACACCCCCGGCCCCAAATAAATTTCTATTCTTTTTCTTTTTTTTTTTTTTTAAATATTTTTTGACATCTAGTAATTAGTCTTAAATTTCTACCAACTACAACTCTAATTCATCAAAATTTTAAAATCAGAGATAAAACTTCATGTTTTATGCTCTAAAACAACTGTTTGTAGAACATTTTGTGTTTTAAAAAGACATTAAAAATAACCAAAATTAATCTATGCTGGAAGTCCAATGAGCATAAGGAAATTTTTGTTTGGAAAACAAATCAAATAGGTATTTATCCGTGAAACATATTGCAAGTTGAAAGTATGTATATAAAAAATGACCCAAGCTGATTCCACTAAAACAAAAACCAAAACCCAAGTCATACTGTAAGTTGTTTTGCTTTTATTTTAAATTTTAAAAATGAAAAAGCTAGAGGTGGTGGTAAACACCTGTAATCCCAGCACTCAAGAGGCTGAGGAAGGAGGACCGCCATGAGTTGAAGGCCAGCCTGGGCTACATAGTGAGTTCAAAAGTAGCCTGAACTACATAGCAAGACCCTGTCTCAAAAAAAAAAAAAAGTGCATTTATAAATTATAGATCAGTGTAAACACAATTAAATGGAAGACTCTGAAAATGAGCCAAAATAGTGCATCAGGGTTGTAAAAAGTATACAAGGGCAAAAGAAATGCCTTCAGCTGAACAATAGAGCTACACAGCGGGAAAGTTGTAAGACTGCCATGGGATGATATCCTACGGGGTACTACAGGCCACACACAGGTGTGGATTTTAAACGTGCTACTACGTACAATGCTGACCATGTCCTTCCTGGAGGCATGGGATGGGGCCTACGCTGCGAATGGAAAGATGACTGGATTTGGTGAAGCGGAATTGAGCGTACAAAGATGACCAGATGGAGTGCTCTGGACGTCAGAAAAGGACATGAAGACAGTACATACAAGACCTCCAAGGACTTTTACTATAAAAAAGAGAGTTTTTCATGGCAAAAAGGTGGGGCAGATGGACAGGAATATATTACAGGACCAAAGTTTTGGTGATTTTCTGGGGGAAAGTTGTCTATTTTTTAAACATGAAAGATACTGTAGCATCTTTATATGCTGAAGAGAACGCTCTAACAGATGGGAAACCCAGAAGATGTAGAAAGCGAGGTAATGCAGGAACAATTAGGTGACAGGATAGCACACACTGCACAGAGCAACAGGAAGCAGAAACTGTTCTCGCATAACAATAGGTGCACATTTATCTTCTCAACCTACACACAGGGCTGACGCTACACAACAGGAAACGTGAAAGTCACAGCGCAGTCTTCATCACTGCATAGACAAAGTGTCACTAAAGGTTTACCAGTGACAGTGTTTGTGAAAATCAGAAAACAGCACAAAGCATCAGTGGAGACAGAAACAGAGGAGGCTCTGATTTTGGTCAATTAAAGAATGCTGCAGAGGCTCAAGAGGCAGAGCCCAGGAAAAGCTCATGTTCCACAGGAGCCCACTTTCCCTTCACCTGGGAGGCCCTCTTTCCTCTCTCACATACGCCGGCCTGGCAGGCTCCCTGAAAGCCCATTCCAGCAGGGACCTTCCCTTCAAGCTGGACCTGACCTCCCCTGAACCTGCAAGGCTTCCACCTGAGATTGTATTTCTCAAGCTAACCTGAATTCACTGAACAGCTGCAACTTTGACAATTAGTTTTCTTCTTAGGATCCTGTTCAATGCAAGGTGCGAGCACCATGATGTGTGACTTAAAACAGCTACTTAAAAAATGACATATCTCGATATATATATACACACATATATACATGGATCCCAAAATATTTAAGGAGAAATGATGTAATAAGCTATGATATGCTTCAAAACAATACAGCAAGGGAAGACATGCGGTCACCACTGGACAACGGAAACACAGGAATTACTTAGGTTAGTTTACATGCACATTTTTTCATTGCAACAGTTTTAATCTCTTTTATCACTTTTCATCTTAAAGTAAAACTTCAGTTACTTTTATTTTTCCCAAACATTTTTACAAAAAAAGCATGAGCCCAATGTTATAGAAAGTAGCCAAACCTGCAAGGCAGTCTTCACGTTTGAGTTATCAAGTCCAGCTCCAGCAATTGACAAAGCGGATAAAGTACTCGGTGAAAATGCTGGAACCTGATTTCCATACTGATCTGTAATAATTATAACTTAAAAAAAAATTTTTATCTTAAAGTGTTATCATTAATAAAAGATACAAGTATGTGTAACAATTACAATATACTTATAAACATACATTTTGTTCTTTTAAGAATTTTGGGGCATAAAAATAATATTTCTCTCATAAGCTAAAATCTAAACCAGGAATCTATGTAAGTATTATATATTTAACATGATGCTAATGTTAATCAGACTTAAAAGTTTTTTATTTTTGTGGTGCTAGAGATCAAATCCAGGGTCTCCTGCATGCTCAACAAGTGCTCTATCAGTAATCCCTGTCTCTATCCCCTTAATAAAAATTTTCCCATGAAGATTTAAAGGAAATATTTTAACATGCAATTTTCAAGATACAAGAAAAAAGCTGGGCATGGTGGCACATGCCTATATTCCCAGCTACCAAGACGCTGAGACAGGAGGACTCAAGATGACCAGCCCAGGCAACTCAGTGAGACTGGGCCTCAAAACACAAAGGGCTGGCAATGAAGATCAGTGGTAGTGTCTATGTACCACGCCAGAGGCCATGGAGTCAATCCCCACTGCTATCAGGGAAACAGCACAGAATGTAAAAAGATACAGACTACACAGGAATCCATTTATGTATTTTACACTTATATTTCTTCTAACAAACAGCAAAATTTTTAAAAACAATTTTGCCAAATGTCTTCAACGGACAGCAAAGGCTGCCTTTCAGCCTCTACATATGAACGTGCACAGAAGGGAACTGCACAGAAGGGGCTGAGACCACACTAACCTACTTCTCCGGGAAGCTCTTGGCCCATCTGCACTGTTTTTCCTCCTTTGAGCTCACATTTCAAATGTCTGGGTTCATCAGGAAGTGGTCTGAAATTACCGGACAAGGTGGAAGTCTTCAGTAACACCATTAATTACACAAAAATATTGTTTCCAGTACACTAAAGAGCAATAATGTACAATGTTTGAAAATACAACGGCATACTCTGAAACACCTCTTTCATTTCCAGAACACAGCTATGAACCCAAAAGACGCCAATCCTGTGCTGAGTGAAAGGGAAGTGATGAGAGCACTGAGAATACGAGCTGGGTCACGACAGCTCACCAAGAGGGTGGTGGTGCCTGCCCGTCACCCAGCTCTCAGAGCAGGAGGCAGGAGGACTGCAAGTCGGAGGCCAGCCCAGGCCACGCTGAGTTTGCAGCTAGGCTGGAGCACAAACCATTTCGGCCTCCTCCACACCCTCAATGAGGAACACTGTCGTCAGAAAGCTACATGAGTTATCGGGTCTCAAGTACAGAGCTACTTAAGCGCTGGGAGCAGTATGGTGAAGAGCAGAGGAATGGTGCTGCCAGCAGTTACTGGAGGAGGTGGCCACCTGGGTGCAGTGGCACGAGGCGGTAACCACAGGACTCAGAAGGCTCAGGTGGGCAAATCAGACAGCCTGAGACCAGCCTGGGCAACTTAGCAAGACTCTGTCTCAAAAGGAAATATTTACAAATGCCAGGGATGCTGCTCAGCGCCACAGAACCCCAGTATGGCAAAAAAAAAAGTAGTCAAGGAATTCGTAGGGGATAAGATAGGATTTTTACATATTTACATAATTCAGTACGAAGTTATAGTTATGATAAGAAGCTGGGCGTGGTGGCGCACGCCTGTAATCCCAGCACTCGAGAGGCCAATGCAAGAGGATTGTTGTGAGTTTGAGGCCAGCCTGAGCTACAAAGTGAGCTCAAGGCCAGCCTGAAGGGCATAGCAGGACCCTGTCTCAAAAAGACAAAGAACAAAACAATAACAAACAAACAAACGAAAAATTATGCTAAGAATTAATTAGTACCTAGAGTAAAACTTCATTCCAAAGACAACCTACATATTTCATAGAAGCTGCAATGTTTTTGAAATAACTTTCACATACATGCAGTAGAAAAAAATATTTTTTGGTTGCCCATGAACTGTAGAATATTTCAAAGTATACCAAGTCCACAAACCTTACTGTGAACGCGCTTTCCAGAGACACATGGTCATCTTGGAAGGAAACCTGGCAATAGCGCATGTCTTTCACGGACGTGGGCACCTGCACATCCGGAAGCAGCCCCTGCAGCAAGTGCTCTTTGTTGATTTCAGGAGTCCAGTTCACCTCGGAGGAAATGACACGTTTAACAATAACTTAAAGCTCAGCCGGTTACTGAAGAAATTTAGAGCTAAAATAATCCATCTTTTTCATCTCCAAGGAAAAAGTCTCTTTATGGCCAGAAATGATGGTGGTGCATGTATCATGGTGATAAAAAAGTACCTTTTTAAAAAGTACCAGAAAACCCCAAATAGCCAGGTGTGGTGGCACATGCCTGTAATCACACCATTCGGGAGGCTGAGGCAGGAGGATCATTGCAAGTTCGAGACAAGCCAGGGCTACAAAGTGAGCTCAAGGCCAGCCTGAACTGCATAGTGAGACCCTGTCTCAAAATAACAACAAAAAAAAAAAAAAGAAAAAAAAAAACCACTCAAATTAAAAAAATTAAATTAAATTAAATTAAGGGATGGAGTCCCCAGTGCCGGATGGAGTCCCCAGTGCCGGGTGGACACAGCACACAACCACCTGTGATGACTGCTATACCTCATACCCATCCTGAGCTTATGGAGATACCTCCATCCAGTATCTTTTACGATTGGTGAGGAAGTGCGTAACTGAAAATCTCTGGTACCCATGAAACACATCACTACGATAGTATTGTATTACCTGACGTACAAAGTTTCAAATGCAGGCCACAAAGCTTAGAGAATTGCAAGGAAAAGGTTATGAATTGGAAAAAGAATTTCCTGAATGTTTTTTCTTATCCCTATTACAAAAATTCCTCAATGAAGGCCAGGCATGGTGGCACTTGCCTGTAATCCTAGCACGAAGGAGGCTGAGGCAGTAAAACTGTCATGAGTTTAAGGCCAGCCTAGGGTACAAAGTGAGATCAATGCCAGCCTGAACTCATACTGAGACCCTGTCTCAATTAAAAAAAAAAAAAAAATTCCTCCCAGAGTGGAGGCATTATTATGAGAAGGGAGGCAAGTCAGAGAAGCCAGGTCTCCAGCACCACTTTTAGGCCATTTACCTTTCTAGAGATAAAAATGGCTTGTTCCTCTTCCAAGTAAGATCAATACTATTTCTCTTTAAAGCCTCCGTTTCCTTGATATCAAAAAGGAAAAATAAACTGGCTAGAGTAAGGGTTATTCCCAATGAGGCTTTAAAAAATAAAGTCAGTTAAACCCCTTTTAAATTACTAGATCTTGTTCTTGGAAGCTCAGGACGGGTATGAGGTATAGCAGTCATCACAGGTGGTTGTGTGCTGTGTCCACCCGGCACTGGGGACTCCATCCAGGGCCAGACAGCCTTCCTTCCCCTACTCCAGTCACTCACAAGCAGCAACCCTTCCCGCAAAAACCACAAGCAAGGGGAGCCGCCTGCCACAGACTGTGTGCTTCTTAACCACCAGCATGTGTGGATTACCGTTCCTGTTTCTGCCACTGTTTTACAAGGTCCCCGTCTCTTTTTTAGATGAGTGACTGGTGAAGTTTGAGCTGTGTCTCTAGCTTCATTTTTCTCAAAAGCCCTGTGTTTTTACTGCAGGGTTTTAATACAGCAGGGTCTTCTAGGCACGTGTGTCTCTCATTACAGAAGTACTGCACTCTTAAAGATGCAAGCATTTTCTTTTAAAAATCATCCAGAAGGTGGATGCTACAGCTCTGCCTGCTTTCATGATGCGAATCTAAAGGTTTAACTTGATTCCTGGCTTGGTGAGATGTTGTTTCACCATGTAGATTCAAGCCTATCAAGGTGGAACTGTTACATTTAGATCACAGCTGACTGATGAGAGCCCACAGAACTTTCCTAAGGAACACTGTACTTGTCGAGAGAGGGATACCAATTTCAAACAGCCAAATTAGGGCTCTGTAGTTCACAGCACTGTGTCACTGTCTGCTTACTGCACCTCCCCTGCTTAGTGACTTCAGAATAGATACTGGTTAGTAAGGTGGCAATCCAGATTGTGACTACAGAAATACACTGGTCAGGAAGTGTACAAATAAAATTCTAAAACCGGAAACTTAAAAGCATAAAAATCATTTTTCTAAGTACAAGTCTGAGTAGACAAAAAGTTTTTCTTAGTCCAGAATTTTAAATAATAGTATTTTTTCTGGGCAAGATTCTTCTTAGAGGCTACTCACAACACTTCTTGGTCAGAATCCTATAAAACAAAAAATTCTTGCAATTAACCAATTTGTTTGAGATACTTACTTTAATTTTTTCTGCTAAAGCTGATGTTATATTGATTTCTCTTTCTCCTTCATCATACATTTGAAAAATAATATTACGCATCACATCGCCTGCTATCCAATTCACCTCATCCTGATGTTTGATCTGGATTGCCTTCTGTCCCTCGACACTAAATATCTGTAGTCGTGCAACATGGCTACTGGGGAGCAACTTGATCGTCTTTTCCACAGGTGAAACATCTTTACAGCTCTAAGAGAGGGAAAGAAAAGCACGGTCAGTGCCATCTGTACCAAGAAACTTTACAGACAATTTAACGATTACTGCATTACACTGCTGAAGAATGGAAGGCTCAGCATTACAGAAGATCACTGCGTATAATGTCATACTCACAGGTACTGCCAGTAAGAGGCCACTCTACTGCTGCCAACTCTGTATTCTATACTGTCAGATTGTAAGTGGCACTGGTCACACTCTTAAAACTAGTAACAAGTACATTTGAACTAAAAGACATCCTTCCCCTTCACTTATGATTTAATTTAAAAGAATACAGACAGACAATTTTACTGCCACAGATTTGTGACCATGTGTCAGTAAGAACGGCATGTAAGGAATCAGTAACCTCCCATAAAATGGGAGACCAACCCTTGCCAAACAACGTACTACTTACGACAACAGGTAACACTGAAGCTTTCCATCTTTTTTCCACTGGTGACATACTGGGGTAAAGGAACAAAGTTGCTCACAGCCAGAAAAGGGCTCTAAATGTCCTGAAGGCTGAGCTGAGCTTCTTGGAAATTTATGATTATGACTGGCACACCAGTATTCCACAGACAGCGGCAAAGAGCTGGATTATACTACAGAACTTGACTTGGGGTCTAGTGAACTGGTTCCCACCTATAACCCAAGCTATCTGAAAGGCTGAGGCAGGAGGACCACAACATCAAGGTGAAACTCTCTCTCAGTGTAAAAAATAAGAAGGGCTGGGGATATAACCCAAGACTGTTGGTTCAATCCCTACTACTGAAAATTTAAAAAAAAAAAAAAATTCAGGAATAATAAAATTAAAATATTGTATTATTTCATCATCTAGCATTACATAGTGCATTCTAGAGCACACACTAAATTTAAAATAAGCTGAATCCTTTACCTCTACAATCTTACTGTCTCTCCTTCCTCATGTAGTTTCACCCATTTCTATGGAAACCTATTCATAAAAATAAAAAAATTTAAAAATTTTTTAAAAAAAGAAGAAACCTGAATACACTGATACACTGAAACTGATACACTGAAACTCCTGCTTGACTCCTTAAACACAGGTATTACCTGGGGATCACTCCATGTTACACGTTACACCTTGGTGTTGGTTTTAGCTGCCCTGGATCCTTCAACCTCCTGCCTGCTGTTGCTCTGTATTATTTACGTAAGGACTGCTTGTTAGCCTTGCTTCTAAATACAGGTTCTTCCCTAATTTCAACTTCTATGCCTCCTGACCTTTTGCAAAATAGTAATGCTCAAAAGAACTGCCAGCTGGGTATGGTAGCACATGCCTATAATCCCAGTACTTGGGAGGCTGAGGCTGGAGGATCGTTGTGAGTACAAGACCAGCCTGGGCTACAAAGTGAGCTCAAAGCCAGCCTGAACTGCATATCAAGACCCTGTCTCAAAAAGACCAAAAAAAAAAAAAAAAAGTACTGCCAGTATTCTTGCAAAAAGAGCATAACTATTTCAGTATTATCACACATAAGGAGCTTGAAAAGTTAGATTAAAGCCGAGTCATCTCATTTCAAAGAAATAAAAGTCACTGGGCATGGTGGCGCAAGCCCGTAATCCCAGCACTAGGGAGGCTGAAGTAGGAGGATTGCTACTAAGTTTGTGGGCCAGCCTGAGATACATAAATGAGTTCAAGGCCAGCCTGTACTACACAGGGAGGAGACCCTGTTTCAAAAAAAAAAAAAGTAAAAGCCATCTTTTGCACTTTTGAGGCTCAAAATATACTAATAATTTGGTGTATAATTAATAGACAAGTATGAGTTAATCAGCTGATTAGGTTACCCATCACGTGTAAGTTATTAAGAAATCAATTTAAGTATCTTACCTAAGTATTTGTCACTTCATTCAGCAGTCTTATGAGACTGACTGTATAGTGTCCTGTTGGCCTAACCATCAGCCATGAGGCAGTTGCAATAAAAAAATCTGTTTATGTACAAATACTAATAAAAACTATATAAAAATATACAGGTAATTAAAGGTTTCTATGTCCTTCAGTGGTAGTTTAAGGGGGAATACTTACCAAACTTTATAAAAAACAAACAGGGAAAATGAAAACCGAAAGAACAAAACAGTACATTAGCATTAGGAAAACAGTTCAGAGGATCATTAATAGCTACAGATGTTGTAAAAGGCCTGATCAAGAAAGTTGTTAATATTGTTACTATTTGACACAAAACTAGTCTCTGTGCCACTCTGCGGTGTCCTTTTTCCCTTTTGGCTAAAGGAATCACAATTACCTCATTTTAAAAAACTCAAAACAACTTTGCACAAAATATTATAATGCTGTTAAAAACTATGTTAAAGCCTAATTCAATGAGTAACAGTAACAACTTACAGGTATTTCAATTCTTGCTTTAAGTGTCTGGTCTTTTTTAATATTCTGGACTTGAATTGCAGATCCCGTTAAAATACTAGTTCCAGAGCTGCTGCAGTCCACCACGTACACGGGGAGATTGGGTGCCCCCAGGAACTACAGGAAAGATCAAAGTAACCGAATGCCCGAGTCAAACGTAACTGATTACTCAATTAATTGTATTTTCAAATACTTCATCACAGCTGTTTCTTGCTATAAACTGGGAAATTCTAACTATAACCCAGCATTCCAGAGAACTTCTGAAGAAAAATTCTCTATAATGCTAAGTGAAACTTGTTTTAGAAGGAATATCTACTTCCCTGACCACTAATTTTTTTTTTTTTTGAACTTTATTAGGTTTCTTTTCTTTTTCATGGGCTTTTTACCCACCTTTACTTATCTATCCATTGTGAAGGTATTTTTTTTTATCATTCTATCTAGAAATAGAATATTGCATTTAAGATGGGGGGAAGAAAGGCAGGAAATTTTCATCCATAAATCTCTCTATGAAACTGGACAAAGCTGACATAGTTACTGGCTTAGAGATACTGAAAAACTACTGGCAATGTGACATCCCATAAACTTCTCTGTGGAACAGTCAGTAAAGACAGTAAGGCTTACTAAAAATATATAGTCAGTGCCATTTACTACAATGGGGCTCAAAATAAAATCGAAGTGTTCACATCACAGTAAGCTTACCTTACAGTGAACAATCAATTTTGGCTGTGCAGTTATGTTATCTGATTCATCTAGAACCTCCACTTGAAATGGGAAAGCTGTTCCATTTTCTATAACTAAAATTTCAGAATCAGGTTTCACTTTCAGTCGACGAGGGGGGCCTATCAGGAAATTACATAATGAAATGCATATTTAGGTTTCAGAGACTGAAGTACTGAAATACCAAAAAGGAAAAATTATTTTGTAAAAAAAGTCAAGAAAAAGATCTAAGCAATGTCAATGTTTAATTTTTTTTTTTTTTTGAGTCTTTCTGAGACAGGGTCTCGCTGTACAGTTCAGGCTGGCCTTGAGCTCACTTTGTAGCCCAGGCTGTTCTCGAACTCACAATGATCCTCCTGCCTCAGCCTCCCAAGTGCTGGGATTACAGGCATGCGCCACCACACTTGGCCTGTTTTAATCATTTTTAATCGCCCAAATGCACAACTATAGATGAGTGCTCTCAATTGTGTAGTAAAACACTGATGTCTAGGCTCAGTTTTATGTTGCAAGCTGTAACATTACTACTTGTAGTGATAACTCATGCTTGAAATCACTTGAATACCTGAAATTTTAAAAAAGATCCTGAGGAAATCCAGGTATGGTTGCACATACCTACATGCATTCCAGCACTCAGGAGCCTGAGGCAGGAAGACAGTTTTGAGTTCAAGGCCAGCCTGGGCTCCAGAGTTCTAGATCAGCCTGCATAAAATAGCAAGACCCTGTCTCAACTCTCACCCTACCAAAAAAAAAAAAAATTCTGGGGAAAAAGTATTTAAGAAGAAAAATAAATGCATTAAACTACTTTTTATTTACCAACTTTAACTGTACACGATAACTAATTTCTTTAGCATACGTAACAACATGGCTGTTTACGCTCCTTCAAATGATCAGTTCATTTTATGACATGCTGCCTCTGACATCATCAGGTTCCCTAAGTTTACCGTAAGATGAATTGAAAGGGTTTATGCTTCTGCAGTAAGGTGATTTGAGTGATTTCATAATCACTAATATTTTATAACGCAATTTATGGCAAATACTGGTAACGTAAGTTTACAAAAACAGTTACAGGAAACATTTTACTTTGTAGTAATATTAGCTAATATTTATTATTTACTACTGGCAGATATTGGCAGTTAAGTTTCAATTAGACACTATTCTCACTGTAAACCTCACACTCATGTTAATGAAGAAAGTACATTATTATTTCCATTTTATACAGGAAAAAAATTTTACATAATTATTCCAGAGAGTAAAATTATCTGCAGTAAATTAAGTATTTTGTCCAGGACACAAGTGGCAGATAGAGACTTAAATCTTAGATTGCAATTTCAAACCCCTTGACTTTTATCACTATGACATGCTATTTCCTACTTCACTATTTTTGCCCTAAAATTAAAAAAAAAGAGTATGTTTAGTTTCTAAGAATTTTACTACCTACCCTCTAAAATGAACTTTTTTCCCTTACACCTCTACCAATGTGCGAATTTCGACTTGCATGCTTAGGAGAAGGCTCAAACAACTTGTATGTTTCATTTGGCTGGAAACCAGCAAGTCTCCTATGGATAAGGGCGGGACCCAAGCGGTGAATCGGTGCTGACTTCCAAGGCAAGCGCGACCCTGTTTGCCACGGGCAGCGCTCACACTGCTCGGTGCTCACGGAAGCCCCTGCACGAGGCACACCGCTTGAGTGGCCTCGCCAAAGCTGGCCAGAGCAGACGCTCTTTCCCGCACCTGTGAAGAAACTGAGGCATAGAGTACTCCCCAGTGGCAAACTCGGGGCTGACTCCAGAAAGTACTCTCAATTTCCACAATAGAGCACCTCTCAAATTAGCCAGCATTTCCACCCCATGTAAATTTCATGCAATTTTACCTTCTCAAATTAAGCTGTTATCAAGTTAGTGTAAATGAAATCAGGAACTTTGCTTTTTTAAAATATAAAACAATTATATCAACAAAAGGTAAAAGACAAACCCAGTTCTAATATAAACCTAATACATACACCCCTAGGAAAATAGCTTCCCAAAACATTGTCAATATTCAAATTTTTCTCCTAAGATTTTTTAGAACTTCATTAATATATTCCTAAGTCTTTTCCACTTAAAAAATTGACCATTTCTGTCTGTGCTGTTTGCAAATACAAATTACCACCCTAAACCCTCAAACTTTTATTATTACAGATATAATTTATTATAAAAACATTGTTTAAAAGTTAAGTATTTGGAATCTTAAAATAACACTACCTGGTAGTAATCTAATTTTCAGGATTTGGGAGTCTTCTTTTAAACCTGGGAGAATCACCTTCAGGTTAAAATTCTGTTGAAAAAACAGTAAAAATTAAACCCAAGTCCAAAATACATATCTAGGTAGTTCAGTATCTCTAATGCAGTCCAATTTTGCTTTTTCATTTTCCTATACAAATCTACTCAACAATTTTATGTTTGATGAAATTATCACTTATGTGAGAAGACACAGGGAAAAATGATGTGTAGAGCTTCCCTACAGATTAACAGTCTCTTCCAATTCAGATGCATACCTCTGAGTAATTATGAGAATCAAGATGGGTATTTTAAAAAAACATGAAATAATATAGAAGAAAAAATTAAAAGTCTACAGATTTTCACATAATGTTTTGGATTGGATTCTGAGCAGAAAAGTAAGAGTAACTGGAAATATCTGAATACAAGTACTAAGTAATAGTAGCTGAAGTACCTGCATTGCATCAATGTTAGTTCTTAGTTTTGATAAATATACGAGGTTCTGTAAAATGCTAACAGAGAAAATTTCTGTGAAACACTATCTCTGAACCCTCTGTAAATGTAGTTATTTCAAAATAAAAGTTCTTAAAAATCTAGAAATTTTACAAAGTTTATCTTACTCAAGGCAGATTTACCAAGAATTTCAATTTTTACCCCAAAAAAACCCTAATTCAGAAAGATGTACAAAACTTGAACTTTAACTTGATTTAGCCATACATCACAGCAATACAAGGTGAGTTATCCCTTATCTGAAATGCTTGGGACTAGACATATTTTGGATTTTGGAATACTTGCATGTATAATGAAGTATCCTAGGGATGGGACAGCTGAGACCCAAGTGCAAATATGAAACTCATTTATGTGCAAAACACACCTTATATGCATAGCCTGAAGGTAATTTTATATAGTATTTTTGGTGTTTTACCTGCAACTTATCACATGAGATCAGATGTGGAATGTAATACTTTGGCACCATTTCAGCACTCAAAAAATTTTGGATTTTGGATCATGTCAAATTAGGGATGTACCACCAGTCGCACACAAGAACGAACTCACATCCGCAAGCTTACTCTGATTTGGAAGCACTGAGGATGGAACCCAGAGCCTTTAGGGTATGCCATATCCCCTCTCCCTTACTAAGACATGGTCTCAGTAAGTTGCCCAATCTGGTCTTGAACTTGCAATTCTCCTGCCTCAGCTCCCAGGGTGCTGGGACTGCAGGTGTGCACCACCATGCCCGGCTTCCAACATGCTCTATTGTAAACATCATATTGGTAGGGAAAATTTTTTAACATATATTGAAGGAAATGATATAGGAGAAAAAAACCTTGAATCAAGTTATTGGGTCCCCTTTTAATACCTGATTTATAGACCTAACTGAAAAGTGAGTTTTGGGGGTTTATATCTTTACCTTCTTTAAGGTATATCCCCAGCAAAGATTACTCTTTACCTAAATCCAACCTTTAGGCTGCACTGAGTGAAGAGGAATTGTCTTGGGGTGAGTACATAAAATATATAATAGAGTTTGTGTAAGTAACAAAATTTCCTTCTATTTTATGTTAGATAACTTTGCAAGATAATACAACAACCTTGTTTAATAAATATGGAAATTTGCACGTCTGTTTAGTAACAATAAACACCCATCTTCACAGGTATACACGCATGGCAGGCGTGATGATTTGCTAGTACGATGCTCACTGCAGTACGCATCTAGTCCCACAGGCGCAGCTCACGTCTGATCCGGTGGGCTTTCGTGCAACCGTTTGCGCGGGACGGAGAAGGAGGTGTTAGCTGCCTCCACCCTCCTGTACACAGCTTTCTCCACAGCCTAATGCAGTCTGTGCTCAAGAAGCATACAACTAAGCATCAAAACAAAACCTCTTAAAAAAAAAATTACATAGTGTTAAAAGTTTACAATCCTGTTGGGCCACATTACCAGCTTCCACCCAGGCTCCCCTGGGCCTCAGGTTGGACGCAGCTGATCTAAACATCAAACCAGTCTGTTAAAGGTATGAGCTAAAATTTCTCAGATTTCTATTTGTTTTTTTGTTTGAGAAATGTAAAATAGATGGATAACACTGGAGTATGCTGTCTAGCACACTACTAGATGATTGTTGAGAAAATGGCTTTGAATAAAGAGAAAGACAGCTAAAAACATTTAATTTGTAAATGTTCAAGAAACTATACCAGTTAAATTATGTGTAGTGGCAGATGCCTTAATCCCAGTGCTTGGGAGGCTAAGACAGGAGCTTCACAATTCTGAGACCAGGCTTAGTGAGACCCTATCTTAAAAGGAGTGGAGGTGGGGAGTTCAAGCAAAATAAAAACCAAAAGCACAGCAAAACAATAGCAGCAACAAACAGTAATGAATGTGCCAACTTTTCTTACTGATGTAACAAGTAACATAATGATGACTAATTCCTACAGCTCATTATTGTCATCTTGTTTTCAAACACAGGTCATTTAATTACAAATTTCCAATTTCACTTTTACCATGTACGAAAGCGATAACTGAACTTATAATATGTATGTGAAATGCTTACCTTGCCTTGACAAGTGTTTACAGGACCCTTAGCTGTAACACCTCGAATTATACAGTTTGGTCCTTTGGTTATTTCTTCATAATGTAAAGATAAACCACTGGAAAAAATAAATTATTTTTTAATTTCCCCTCCATACTTAAAAATAAGCTGCAAAGGTTCCATGGGTATATCTAATTCATTTTTCTAATAAAATAATTTCCTCTAAATAGGAAAAAATAAATAAAGCAAATTCCAACAAATGTCTTTTAGGGAAAACTAGTTCAATAAGTATTGATAACTAATACCAAAGCATAAACACTGAAAATGATACAATATATTACTGCAAAATTAAAAACTGCACAAATTGAATTAGTAAAACTATAAGCTAAGAAATAATCCAAATTATGTAGACAATGTATACAGACCTAAGAAAAGGAAATACTGAAATAGGCCAAGTTTAAGGATGTTCTCAGGCTTTGCTTTGGATTCTCTCAAATCTTCCTTCCACCTAGTGAGATTTTAGAGAATTTTTGGTACCAATTAAACTGAATGGCAATTTTAGAAAAGTCTAAATAATCAAAGACATTCTTGTGGTAGTGTGAACTTGTCAGAACATACACTGAGATCCCCTAATCTACTCTACAGGTAAACCGATTCCTAAATCAAATTTGACCCATGTGGAGATCTTCACTGGGAACTTTTCACTAAGGTAAGAAAAGGGAAAAGGGTAAGAAAATACTCCATGATGAAGGAAAAAAGTCTAATTTTTCAGAAAACTGGAAGTCAAGTGTTAACAGGTATTTTCTGAATAAATCATAAGATTTATTTAAAATTACAACTTAAAGACTTGACTCTAGAACTTGGTAATGCTTCATTTCCACTTCTTCAACAGACAGTGTCTCATGGACCAGAACAGAGCAGGAGGCTGGTGCCACATAAAGAAAAGGGCTGAGAGATGGAGACACAAAGACGAAAAACAGGCCGACAGTTTTGAAGTTACTTTTCTTACACGGTAAGGACAAGGAGATAGGAAAATAGGAAAGTAACTAAGCAGTGTAGTGTAGGGGACTCCACGCTCATTTTCACTCTGGTCTGCTGGGACCTACTGCGGAAGCGTAGTCCAGAACAATGACTAACAATGACTTCCTGCAATTCTTATGTAATAAAGAATATGCCTTGTTTGTAGAAGTGGCACACACCATGAAACTTCTCTGGGAAAGAAGGCATATTAAACAGTCTACTTTCAGTGTTTCTTAAAACTCCTCTAATAATGTCAGACACTGGTGGGCCTTAGGGAACATCACCATCATCCGTCAGGTCTCAGACCCAAAGAGACCTTGCAGAGCACAAGCACATGTTGTGGTTGCAAGCTGTGCACATTCCCTCCAACACTATCTGGCCTCCTGGCTGGCTATTTCCAAAACAAGGCATACAGTGCTCCTGGGAGCCATGGACTTCACCCAATGATATCAGAAAAGGAAACGTTCTTATTTTGAAAAAATTTTTTTATTTCATTGAAAATTTGTTTTAGTACACATCTGCACTCCTCGCGTGACACTGGTCCACATACATAACACATCCTAATTCTTTTCTTCACCTCCCACTTCTCCCTCCATCCCCTGATCACTTCCCATTTGAGAAAGATCTCCCTACTTCCTATTTTCTACCTTTTATTTCATTCATTATTTACGCTTTGAGTTTCTCATATAAGAGAAACCATGAATAATGAAGCCTGTGTGTGACTTACTTCACGTAATATAATGGCTTCAAGGTGCCTCCATTTTCCTATAAATGACTCAAGTTTATCTTTGACCTTCCCTCCTTGGGCCTGATTTAGATTAGAACTTTTCTTCCCTAAATTTCCTTCCTAAGCTTCTCATACAGTGAAGGCCTCTGAGAGAAAAGAAGACATTTCTCAGATACCCATTCTAAAATAACCCCTAAGAAAAGTGTCGATAAGCAGGTGCATTGTGTAAATAAGACAAGATAATCATCATAGTTCCTTGAACCCCAGGAATGATTTCCTATTCATAAAAAGATACCTGAACTTCCATTCGGGGCAGATGTCTTTGTGACACTGCCTGCTGTCTTGCTTAAAGGTGTAAATCTCTCTGTATCTGCTGTACAACAAACTCTCCACTTCTGCACCTCGACCACCTAATGTAAAATCTTTCATCAAAGACACAAATGACGGGGGGGCCAACGAGCGAGGGGCTGACTCCCTGGTGTCAGACCTCAGCTTCCTACACTTTATCTCAGCCAAAAGGCTGAGACGTGATTGGGACCCAGCTTCCCAATAACAATATGAAAGTGAAAGATTTCTTTATTTTTGAAAGCAAAGATAAGGAAGAGGTTGAAAAATTAGAAGGGACAGGGACAGACAAAAACATCTGAAAGAAAATAGGGTGACAAACTGGGGATCAGCCAGTCCAATAAAACTGAAGGTTCAAAATACCAACAGAAAAAGCTGGGAACCAATTTGTGCCACAGAATTCCAAGGAACCTTCAAGAACGGGTGCTGGTAGCGCCAGGAGCCCTGGGAAGTGGGAGCCAACAAGAGGTTAAAGAGAGACTGAGGAAGACAGTTCAGATCTCAGACCTCCCCTCTCCACCGTCAGGCAGATGCCTGCAGGAATGTTCTAAAAAGGCCGAAGTGGGGCCTCTGCAGCAGCACGGCAGGCTAAGCCAATGGAGGGTGTAAGACTACGAACGAACAGAGGGGGCAATCGTCAACAAATGCGCCTGGGTGCTGAGAGCGCCTAACCCTCGGCCCCACTGCAGGCCGCGTCCTGACCAGCCGGGGCCAGACTGCTGCCCCCACTGGAAAAATAAGACAAGACTCTTCTCTGAGGAAACCACCCTGCCTGAGAAAAGACCTGCAGCTACTGACAAGATTCCTGCCACCCAACCCCCAACAGCCTGCTCCAGTCCGTCCCACAGTGAGTCTCCCATCTGCACTTCCATTCTCAGTTAAGCAAATGGCCAGCGGTTACAAGATGACACAAAGAAAAAAGTCGCCAGGAACAAAAAGAAAATGACAACTGACTTGTGGACAACAGACCCTCTGTGTAAGTAAAAGAAAGCTTTAAAAAGAACAGGATCCATAAAAGAACATTCAGAAACTCAGGCTGAATTCTTGGAAATTAAAAAATACGATAGAAGGAAAAAAATCAAAAGAAAACATGTTAAGATCAGATGATGGTGCACACCGGTAATCCCAGCACTGGAGAGACTGAGAAAGGAAGATCAGACTCAGTCTTGACAGCTTAGCAATTTAGTAAGACACTGTCTCAAAATAAAAAATAAGAAAAGAACTGGGGATATAGTTCAATGGAAAGGACCTGGTTTCAGTCCCCTAAAAAGATATTTCTGCAACTTCAAAAATTTAAAACTAGACTCTACTGTTTTATCGAAGTATTATTTTCTTATTCCCTGTAATGGTTTGAGCAATCTTTCATTCTTACACCTGGTAATCTGAGCAATGTAGTTGAGGATAGGATATGTAATGTAACAACCACTGTTTTTTGTCGTCATCCCCCCCCCCAGCCCCCGTAACTGGGAAACAACCACTGTTGATTCGTACTTTTTTGTCTTGAGACTCTGTATCACTTTGAATGTTCTTGCTTTGATTTGTTTATGTTTGTGAGACTGGTATGATGCTACTGTTCTATTTCTTTGTTTCTCATTTACTACTCTCTTTAAAATAAACAAATATAAAAAATTAATTCTCAGTGTTTTTTACAACTATATATTGTTTTTCAGGAATTTAACCATGATATATTCTCAATACAGCACAATCCGTCTCACTCCTCCGTAAGCTTCGGGAAGGCAAATCTCCTTATTTACATGTGTTATCTCCCGTTACCAGGTGCCTAGAATATATACTCCAAAGACTGAAAGAAGAGACAACTGCTCCACAAGGCGGAAGGTTACACAGAGACAATAAAAGAAGGTATACATAAGAAGTGGGCCCAGGGGTGGGATGTAGCTCAGTGAGCTCTTGCCTACCATATCCAAGGCCCTGTATTCAACCCCAGCACTACCAGGAAGGAAAGGAGGTGAGTGTGCAAATAAAGACAAATTTGGCAACTGATGCAAAAATAAATACTTGTATTCAGGAATAACTATTTAGAAGAAGCAGAACTCACTTCCTTAGGACTTGTCAACAATTTCTTCCTAAGCACATCAAAAAAGAGTAATAACAAGTAATGAGCATCCTTAATGACATCGTTATCTTCGAAGTATTTACTCAGAATACAAGACAGACCAGAAAGATTTTCATAAAGAAAAAGGTAACACAAAACTTTCTTTTCAATGAACTAAGATAAACTATAGTATAAGTGAAACAAGTTAGCATATATACTAAAATATTGTTCAAACAAAAATAAAAGAAAGCTTCATGAATCTGTGTGTAACGCTTACGATTTTTAAAACACTAAAATATATTATAGCACCACTAAGTTTAAATGGCCATAGCTTATAAGTAAATAACAATGACCAGAACTGCCTGGAAACACCATTTCATACTTGCAAAAGTAAGGGTTGTAAAACTTAAATACCTACATGACCTCAACAGTTAATTCAGTCAAATGACAAACTTCAGGTAACAATATGACACTGTAGTCACAGACGATAGCTTGCATCACATAAATCCCCAGAGTATCATAAAATTCACTGAACATTTTATTTTATTTATTTTTACACAGACCATTTTATTTATTTATTTATTTATTGGGGCAAGGGAGATAGGGTCTCACTACGCAGTTCAGGCTGGCCTTGAGCTCACTTTGTAGCCCAGGCTGGTCTTGAACTCACGACGATCCTCCTGCCTCAGCCTCCCGAGTGCTGGGATTACAGGCTTGCACCACCTCGCCCGGCTTACACTGACCATTTTAAATGACAATACTAAAGTTAAAGTCACATAAATAATTTAAGCTTAACACAAGAAGAGGTAATGCTTAGCAAATATGAAAAGACAAATACACATGGGTACTTACCTTGCTTCAAGAACTGGCTGAATGTCTGCTGCTAGTTGGCTAGTGTGACCAAATTCATCCTGAAACTCCAAAGGGATACTGAATGGGACACCAACACGAAAAGGAAGATCCAGAAGTCCAAAAGAAAATTTCTCTGGTTTGCCCTCTTTAATAAAAACAAAAATAGAAGTGAAAAGCGACTTCATTGGTGAGAAAATTCACTTATGGTTAGAGACAGACTCATTCATAGATGGGAAATTACAGATATGGACAAAGATGGCATTTTAATACTATGCAAAAATTTAACTATTACCAACAACCCATATGGGAAAATAGTTTTTTTTCTTGTGGTACCTGGGATTCAACCAAGGGCCTTTGCACTGAGATACATCTCTAGCCCGCTGTCACTTTTATTTTGAGATAGGGTCTCATTCACTAAGCCACTGAGTTGCCCTGGCTGGGCTCGAACTTGTAACCCTCCTGCCTCAGCCCCATCAAGTGTCGGGATTATGGGCAGAGGCCACACTCAGCTAAATACATCGGAACTTCATCTCACACCATGTGGAAGTAAAATTCTAGAGGTAGAAACAGATGATTCTAAATTGTGACATTATTAGAATATAGTGAAGAATGTGTGTAATCTTATGAGAAAAACTTTCTAAAGCAAAACATAGAATAGCCATAAAATGATGTGATGAGTTCAAGAGAGAGGCTGCATATGAGAAAGTATTTGCTACCTATGCAATGAAGAATTCAAATTCAGAAAACATTTAAAAGCAACGTACCAGTACCCTCAGTGCCCACACCCCTGGCTGGGCCTCATACACACTCAGTTCTCCCTGTATGGTGCGCCCCAAGCAACACCCCAGCCCCAAACCAGCTGTTCTCAAAACATCTCCAGTCTAGTAGTTTGGAACTCACTAGAAATGCAAATTCTAGGGCCCACCCTCAAACATGCTGCATGTGAAACTCTGAAGCTCAGCTCCAGCAAGGTGTTTCAATAAGCTTTCCAGGTGGTTGAGATACAAACTTTAATTTGAAAACCAAAGCTTTAGTCTGACGTATTAAAATGGGCACTGTAAATGAAGAAGATTCCAGATGACATAAATGTCTAATAAATACTAGAACAGGTACGCCACATAAAAATTAAGAAGCCATTTAGCTTTGGATAAATAAAAATATAGTTTGGTCAAGAATGAACATGTAGGAAACAAATCTTCTTTTCTTTTTTTGGTGTGTTTCAGACAGTCTCGCTATGCAGTTCAGGCTGGCCTTGAGCTCACTTTGTAGCCCAGGCTGGTCTCGACCTCGCAAAGATCCTCCTGGTTCAGCCTCCTGAGTGCTGGGATTACAGGCGTGCACCACCACTCCTGGCTCACAAATTTTCATTGGTTGTTGATGGGAGTACCATGGGAAAAGCCTTTTGAGGATTCTTGGTATTCACTCCACAGAAATTCTCACGCAAGTACAGAACACAGCATAATTTTTATAGCTAAAAAACTGAAAGAAAATCTGAAAGGTTCATCAATAGGAAACTGTTTAAAGTACACCAAATCCATACTATGAAATACATTTCACAGAATTAAAGGAAAAGGACTCATTTCTATGTACAAAAGAAATGACCTTTTAAAAAAATATGTCTAGTGATCTTTTTGACTACAGAAGGCAAGGTGATTAACGAGACTTAGATCAGTTCTCTCCAATAGCCTCACTGTAATGGAACCACACTTTCTTTATTAGGGGATCTAAGCCTACAAAATCAACAGACAAGCTCAGATAGAAGAGTAATAGAATCTGAAAGCTGAAGAAATAGCAATGGACTTGGCAAAGAAGCCTCAATATATCAAACCCTCAAGTAATGAACAAGTTGACTCAGCTCTATTAAGCTGCAGTGAAACCAGCAAAATTGGAGGAGTTACTGGAATCCGTTTAAGAACCAGTTCTCCAAATCCCCATCATTCAATGTATAGGCCAAGTCAAACGATTTCTTCATCCCCAGCAAAAGTTTATTTTCTGAGGAAACTAAAGGGTTGCTCGAAAGAATGAGAAACACAACACCACTGAAGGCGTCACAGTTTAGTGAAAATAAGAAAATCCACAGAAAGACTGTCTACGAAAGGGGAGACCTCCTCTACGGCCCAACCGTCTTCCCAACTTTGCATCCAAAAAGCAGGCAGTCAGGCTACTACTCCAGCAAGGCACTGGACAGGGCCATTCTCGAGGATCAGCACAGCCAGACAGGAGTCCTCACTGCACAGCATCCCACAGTGAAATAACATTTTCAACTGCCTTACTCTTCAAAGTGAGCAAACAACTCCTCATGTATGAGATCTCTAAAATGAAGCACTTAGAGCAAATGGAGAAAAGCAACATGGAGGACATAGCTAGAAAGGAAAAAAAAACAAGAAAAACTATGCTGCTATGCCGTCAGAGAAAAAGACACTGAGCCCATGAAGCAGGAAGAGAATGCCTTGAAAAGGGAATGACCAGATAATAAAAAGGGAAAACTTTAGAAACTAAAAACTAGCAGGTATACAGTATCAAGGCAATCTCAAATTAGAAAACTAAAACCAAGAGATAGAAAAAACGAAGTTCATATACCAATGAAGAGATCAAACACCTTAGTATATCTTAGGAAAGGGAAAGGGACAGAAAATCAAATAACTCAACAAAAAATCCTAGAAAATAGCAGAGGATCTTCCAGCCTGAAAGGGCAACGAGGGACACAGCAACTGGATGGTAGCAAGACTCACGCTTCTGCAACTGCAAATTCCGAAACGGGAAGAAAAGATTCCCAAATATCTGGAGTCGTGCAAAATGTCAGGAATTAGAACAGCTTTAGACTCTACCAGCAACAATGCAAAGTACAAAAACGGTATTTCCAACATTAGGAAAGGATGTGACTATCACATAGATTTATAAAACCATTTAAAAACCAAATTAGTTAACTGGGCAAATAGCCTTTATTAAGTTACCAATTAGCTCCTTCTTGATTCAAAACATCACCTTAGTATACATGGCTATACATTAGCACTTTGCTTACCTTTAACAGAAAATTTAATTGCTTTAGATGGTAATGGCCTTCCAGCATAGGTGTCTGCATTACTTTCATTCAATACCACTTGTAATTTCAATGTGTAATTCCCCAATTTTTGAATATTTTCTGGATAAATTAAGAAAGTAAAAATCAAATCAGCACTGACTGAAATTACATATAGATGTTTGAGACTGGGTCTCACAACTGCGCTCAGGCTCACTCAAGTGACCCTCCCACCCCTAATCCTCCCATGGATTAGGCGCGTGCACACCACTACACCCAGCACTTGGAGTTGGGGAGGCAGTGCTGGGATTGAACCCTTTGCCTCAGGAATGCAAGGTATGCACTCTGCCACTGGGCTACATCTCCAGCCCAGATGCAGCTTTAAACATTCCGAATAATGACTCACCCATTTTTTTAAACCAGTACGGCCACTTTCCTCCATGTTGACTAATATGTGAAATGATTTCTTTATTTCCACTTGAGGCTTAAAAGAAAAGAAAAAACAGTATTACCTTAAGAAAATGAGTATCAAATATGAATATGAGAAATCACTGTGGCATTAAATGCAGTTATCTGTACTTGCTGTAAATTTTTAAAAACTGCTGTGAAGCTTCAAAAGATTTAAGATTACTGTAAGCAAGGGAACAGTAAGTTTAGTTTACTCTGGCTCATTATAGTCACCCTATTTCTTTTTTTTTTTTTTTTGTCTTTTTTGAGGCAGGGTCTTGCAGTTCAGGCTGCCCTTGAGTTCACTTTGTAGCTCAGGCTGGTCTCGAACTTGCAACAATCCTCCTGCCTCAGCCTCCCAAGTGCTGGGATTACAAGCATGTGCCACCACACTCGGTAGTCACCCTATTTCTAATTTTTATTTGTAAAGCATTTTAGATTTGTAAGTAAGTTTAACTGGCACATAGGTACAGACAAAATTTTCCTTGGTATTAAAAACCACTTTCCTTAAGTTTTCTTCAAAATTAAAATAATAATAAGCTGGACATGGTGGTGCACGCCTGTAATCCCAGCACTTAGGAGGATGAGGCAGGAGGATCGTTAGGAGTTCAAGACCAGCCTGGGCTACAAAGTGAGCTCAAGGTCAGTCAGAATTGCATAGCGAGACCCTGTTTAAAAAAGGAAAATAAAATTAAAAGAATACATTTTACTAACAGAGAGTTATCTCCAAGACCTACTGTTAGAAGAGCAAGAACTATATACTGCTAGGAATTTTTTTAAAAAGGCAAGATAAGCCAAAGGCTAATAAAAGGGAAGAAGAGGCAGAAAGAAAACAGAATAGAGATAACATAACTTCTGTGAAACATTTATTACTTATTGTCCACTTTGGTACTCAAATATTTTTTTAAAATAATTAAAATAAGGCAATTCATTAATAAAACCAAACTGTTTATCAACTAGGTCAGATGACATAGGAAAAAAAAAAAAAAGAGAGCTTGGTGTGGTAGTGCATGTGTATAATCCAAGCGACTATGGAAGCTGAGGCAGGAGGATCCCAAGTTTGAGGAGAGCCTAATCAACTTAGCAAGACCCTGTCTCAAAATAAAAGTTTAAAGAAGAGGATAGAGATACAGCTCAGGAGTTGCTATATCCTGCTGGCTTTGAAGATGAAGAAAGGGTCACAAGGCACGGAATGAGCAGTTTCTACGAGAAAACACAGGGCTCCCCTACAGCTCCAGAAGGAACGCAGTCCTCTCAACACTGGAAACCTGTGCTGGGCCACATACAGCTGGCACTGTAAGAGAAACTGAATGCATGTGGGTTATAAGACCAAGAAAAATTGGAGAAATATGGCACAGAGTGTCCACCGTAATAGGAAAAGAAAGAAAATCTTTCACTGACAAGTTTTTAAATGCTGAAAGTAAGCACGTATTGGCCAAGTCCTGAAAATTCCATGACCCAGTCACACAAATATATAGTGAAAGAACAGATTACTCAAAGTATAAAGTGAAGATATTTTAGGTAATTAAGACAAACGTAATGGATCCAAAGTTAACAAAGGAGGTGACTAAAGTTAGGAAACTAAAAGAGCACTAAAACCAGCTTTTCTTCCTGGCCCTCAGAGAACCCCAGGCTTATTATCAGAACCAAGTACTTTCGGCCCCAGGTTCAGAGCCACAGTATTTTTGATCTGAAAGGGACTTTAAGCATTATCTAAATTTTTCTAGGTAACTACACCGTATTTTTACTTTACCCCACAGTTAGCTACTTGAGAAAATTCAGGATAAAGTATTTTAAAAACACAACACTTAGAAAAATATCGACAAACCAATTATTTATATCACACCTGAAATTTCTAACTTTAATCATATTCATTACATCCATCAATAATTACATAAAAATACTCTGATCAGTATTCTATTGTAAACAACAATATTAAAAATCTGAACCACTGTCTGCATACTTACAGTGTAGTATAACTTTAAGCTCAACTAGGAGTTTTTTTGACCCTCCATGACTTGTTCCTGGAAGCTTTTGCATTGCTTCCCCTTTTTTGTTCAGTATTTCAATTCTTAATGCACCTATAGAGTTCAAAAACAGAAGAAAGAGTGTCTTAATTACACCTAAAGAATCTGCTAGGTCATCACACTGCATTTTAACTTTTCATAGTGTCTTATGTATTAGAAATATTGGACAAGATAGAAGCGTGTTTTGGTATTACAGAAAACAACACCAACATACCAATGGGGGTTCCGGCAGGCCTAATCTCATTAGGCAACAATTCATCTCCTTCAGGCCAAGTTACTGACAATCTGTCAGGGAGCCTATTATGAAACCAGCACATTAGTGTTTCATGAACTCTGTGAACTGAGATCTGAACTAGAAATACACAAGTTACTAGAATCTTAAATATTTATTGTTTGTGTACTTTGAAAAGTTAAATCTGGAACGCAATTTTTTTTTTTTTGGTACAGAGAATCCAACTCACGACCTTGCTTGCGCTTGCCAGGCAGACACTGTGCCACTGAGCTAGATCCCCGGCGAAATCTGGAACTCTAAATGTTATTAGTTAATTAAAAATGTTGTTTTATTCTTACTGTGGCTACTCAAGAAGCAAGAAAAAAATCTCTTGGGATTAAGATCCAGAAACTGTCAAATTTTTTGTGTTTTTTCTAATTGCTTGAAATATATGTTACCTTTGGAGATAGGATAAACTCTAAGGATAGAAAAGCCCCAGTAAGAAACAAAATGACTGCATCATTAACTATAAAAGCAGGAGATCCAACTATAGAGTTCCGCTTTTGTACTTTTCTTTTTTTAACTAATCTTCATCTCTTAGAAGGTACCACAGGTTTCATCTAGTTGTCAACCAAACTTTCCTTTAATGCCTTAATCATGGTGCCTACAAATATGACATTAGATAAATGTATGACTTCCTTCTTTCTCTACAAATCTGGCTTTTTAACTATGGTTCTCAATATTTAATGTCAAGCCAGACATGATGGTACATGCTGGTAATCTCAGCACTCGGAAGGCTGAAGACTGCTGAGTGCAAGGCCAGCATAGGTTATCTAAGTGCAAGGCCAGCCTGAACTACAGAGTAAGATTCTGTACCAAAAAAACAAAGAAAGAAACAAAACTTCCAAAAAATAAAATAAAATAAAATTTAAAAATTCACCCATGTGCAGTATCTTAAAACTACAAATGGCCTATTTTGAACTGTAATGACATAGTCAAGAGTTCCTTATTTTTGTCATGCCTCTTAAAACATAACTTACCTTGCCATTTCATCTTCTACATATTTTCTGACAGCTTTCTCAGCAACTGTCCTATCCAGCTTCGCAATTGGCACAGTTTTTATTTCATCATACAGTGCCTGAGGTTCCTGAATAAAATGAATTATAGTAACATTTCAAAGAAAACTTTAAATTTAGCTGCAAAAACATAGCGCCCATTTGTCTCTTTCAAAGGCATGTGTTTTATCCTAATTAAGCATATTACATAGATAAAAACAGCCATTCTTATATTATATACCAGAAGTTTTTTTTCATTTTTTATGTAATCTCCATCAATTCTGATACGCCATTCAAATAATAAGAGATGATAAATGGAAAAAGCTCATTCTGGTCTTGCAGTTACTTACCCTTGAGACAGAATTCCCCAATATTTACTGGTTTGCAGGCCCTGGAGGAAATGTGTACTTTATAAAATTACTGTAGTAACTAGCAATAATACACGTTTATAAAATATTGAGCATACACATGGTAGGTTCTATAGTGTCCAGTGCCCCCAAAAAGACCAAAAAAAAAAGGAGGGAGAGAGACTCTTCTAACAAGTCTTTTATTATCCGCGGTCTTACCATTGCAATCTGAACTTCTCCTCCTGTAGCATAGACTTCTCCATCATGATCCCCATACAGGAAAAATCTTACTATGCTTCCATAGAACAGAGGAAGTGTTTTGATTGTCTTGACCTAGTATTTAGATTTTTGAATAAAAGAGGTCAACAGTGACATTTACTAACAGAAACAGACTTAATAATGACTTCATAGAACTTTCACAGCAGGCAAAAAACCCCTCAGTATCGTGAGGAAAACTAAGGAAGCGTTCTAATAAATTATATTTGTAAAGTTCTCCACTTATTCTTAAATCTGTATAAAGATATAGTGGATTCTTCAGACAAGTATGTCACAGTGAAGTACATGCTTATAAACTTAAGTTAACATGTTTCCCAAATAAATCAGCTTAAAACTCGCTTGGTATTTTTTCTTGCCTAAAAAAAATAATTCAGGGTAATATTTCTATGAGTCCCATTCCAAAATCCCCAAACCGGACCACACAAGTTTATCATACACGCTACCTTTCTAGCTTCTTTCTAAACTCTCCTTGTAGGACACCAGGACAATCCACTCTCCCTGTTGCTACTTCCCTGAACTGACCTGTGTGTCCAAGTGCAGAGGACTTCCCCAGCCACTACAGCCTTTCACAGGGGTGATTACTCCCTTCTCCTTGCAATTTTCTACTTGGCTCCCAACACGATATTCTCTCGGTTCCCTTCCTTATCACTACCCATTTCAGAATCCATTGTAGGACCTTCCGTTCTAATCCTAAATGTGGGGAAAACCCCAGGCTCAGCCCTTGGGCTCTGTAGCTATATTCATGGCTTCTAAGTAACCTCATCCAATTCTACACCATTAAATAGATGATGTTCCTCACATTAGTGAAGAAAACGGGCGTCTTTTCTCTTTGTAATTATAATTATCTGTGTTGACCCAAGACTACCCCTCTCCAGGGTCACACAAACGCCTTCCTGGTCCCTAACTGCCTCTTCCCCTAAGCCCCGCCCCCACGCAGTCAGAAAGCACAGCGTCTCCTGGAGCACCAGGACACTCATCCTCTCCACTCACTGCAGCCACCTCCTGCTGGCCTTTCATTATTTACATTTACATTACGGCCATCTGAGGCTAAAGTCTCCTAAGAACAAAGCATATTCTGTTTTCAGCACAACATAGGCAGAATGTTAGTGGATCTCAACAATAAAGACTAAGAAATCATTTTCACAACACATTAAAAAAAACAGTGGGAATCTCCGCGTGAGCATCACTTAGTATAAGAAATAAAAATTTTACTAATTGTGCCTTTGGCAATAAACAGTCTTTTAAAAATGCTACAATAAATTATGTAACTCAAATCAGTTGTGCTTTTCATTCTTTACTGCTCCTCAGGAGCTAATGCATTGTATTTTGTTATTAAATTCTAATACACCTAACTTAGTTTAAAATTTTACCAAACACTGAATCTGAAAACAGGTTAAACCTACCAACTGTCCTGCTTTGTATATTTTTCCATCCCATTCTATTGCTGAGTATGTTGCCCAGGGGCCTTGCTTTTTAGATGGAAGGTCAGGACGTGTAATTGTTCCTTTAAAAAGTGTAAATTTTATTTGCTTGTCATACTTTTCATGACATTCCTTCAGCCATAAAGCAAATTCTCTGTCAATTTTCATTCGCTGTTCCTGTAAAATTTTTAAACATTCTGTGAAATACAGCTACAAGTAAAAAAACAAATACAACCACAGACATCTGTCACCCATTTCATATTTCCTCCACATACCATATCTCAGAAAACCTAGTAAACAAATGTTTTGCTGGCTCCTACTCCCATACATACTTAGATCTCAAACAAAAGCATTACTTCACATATCTCTGCTATCACTGACTGTGCTAGTACACACCTGTACACCCAGCCCTCCGGTGGGCTGAGGCTGGAGGATCACAAGCTTGAGCTTAGCCTAGGCAACTGCACAACTTAACAAGACCCTATCTCAAAATAAAAGGATTTTTTAAAAGGCTAGGGATGTAGCTCTGTGCAAATTCCCTGGTTCCACTCCCTAGTGTTGAAAAAAACAAAACCAAACCAAACAAAAATAAGGGCTTTGATATCACCCTTGGTCTCAGTGGTTAACATCAGTAACGGAATGCTTCCTGCTTTAAACCCCAGGCCACCCTGAGAAGTGATGAGCACCGGCTGACCCCAGGGAGGGCGACTAGCTCAAGAGCAGGAGCGAGTGGACTTGCATTCTCAACGCGGCAGGGAGAGCCCTCTCCTGGGGGCTGGGGCGGGGCTCTGGAAGAACGCCTGTGAGGCACGCTCGAAGCCCCAGGCTTCACCCCCAGCACTGAAAACAATTCCATATTATTGGGCACAGATGTATTTCTACAATAGATAGACAGCGGTATTTAAAATTTTACTGGGAAGAGCAAGTAAGAAAAACCTGTCTACAAAGGCTCCACACGAAAGTGGCAACGAAGGACAGGTCAGACAACACTGTTCCACAAAGCTCTTTCCCCCGGTCCTGGGTACTCAACTCAGAGCTGCGTGCATAGCAGGCAAGTGTTCTACCACTGGGCTACAGCTCCGTATTTTTCTTTATTGAAAAATTAAATTGTTTTTAATAAAAAAAGATGATACTGTGCCAATCGTTCTTCATCATGATGGGAGAGAATACAGATATTTAGGATGCTACATCCTTGTCTGATACGTGTCTCTAGAATGAAAAGACCTCTCCATTACATAGGAAAATCCAGTTACTGAAGCTTTTTCCTTTCTTCCTACACATTTTATACCACATTAAACCATTTCCATTGGAAAATGAGACAAAATTAAAAATGATTCCACCTAAACATTTTGGAGCTTGTTGTTATTAATAAACATTTGACTATAGAGTTACCTGAATACAATTCTTCTACACAGGGTAAAGGCTCAGAAGCCAAAGAGCACATATTTTCAAGGCAATATGTCCCCATCCACTTCCTCAGGTGCTAATTCTTTTCCCAATCAGCAAAGCATTGCTATCAGTTTGTGAGGCACTTATGGATACTGAAATCCTTAACTGAGAATGGGGACGTCTGCCTACCAAATTCTGAACCCATATTTCAAGGCTAAGCTAAAACTCCCAGGGTGCATCATCAACCAAACAAATTAACAGATGCATTAAATACAGAAACTCAATAAAAGCCAATGTAGAGCACAATGGGCGCTAAAGAGTGGCAGTTAACTAGAAGAGGATTGTGTGGCTATTCATTATGTTATTCTTTCAACTTTTCTAAAGAGTTTACATTTTCTGTGGTACTCATTTTCAAATCTAGAGCCTCACACATGCTCGGCAAGCACTCTAGCTCTGAGTAATAAATACCCTCAACCCCATTAGATAAATCTTGGAAATATCTTAATAACCTGAAATCCAGAAAGTTTATACTAGAAAATTCAAAACTTTATAGGAATGACTGTGTGCTACATGTATTTACTGCTTAGTAGTTTAAAGTTAATGATGAAACCTCCTATGTCTTGATAGCTAAACATCCAGCAACTGGAGGATTAGCTAAGTAAAAGTATCTGAAGGACATGGGAAGAAAAATACACAAGTCCCATTCCACTGTTTACAAATTTTCTTTACAATGGAATCACTTTTGTCTTTTTTGGTATTTTAATACTGAATGTACCACGTATCCTTAGTACTGGTCAATCTCAAATCTTTTAGCCCTGAATATTTCAATAGTCTCCCATTTTTACCACACAATTACATTGTTACAGTGCAGAGCTCATGAAATACATAAAATTGTTCATATATGCTCTCATTAAGTAAAGATGCTTCTAAGGCCTCTACTCACTATTTCAAAATCTTGATATTAAGATCTAATATATACAGGTAAATTTTAGCCAAACACAGTCTAATCAGCTTGAAATTTTTGAGCGCTATGACCAATTGAAAGCTCATTAAAAACATTTTTAAATTTTTATATTTTTGTGTTTTTTGAGACAGGGTCTTTATGTTCAGTCTGCCCTCAAAATCACAGTGACCCTCCTGTCTCAGCCTCCAGAGTCCTAAAATTACAGGTGTGTGCCACCATGCTTAGTTTTAATTTTTTATTACTTTGGTTTTTGAGACAGGGTCTCATTATGTAGCTCAGGCTTGGCCTTGAACACACTGTGTAGTCCAGGCTGGTCTCAAATTCATGAAGATCCTCCTGCCTCAGCCTCCCAAGTACTGAGATTACAGTCATGTGCCATCACACCCAGTATATTTTTTATTTTTAATTGATATAGAGAGACATAAAAGTTGCATAAATTAGTAGGGTGCCATTTAATGTCTGATATATTGCATGTTTAAAGAAGGTTGAATATATTTATCTCTTTAAATATTTATCAATTCTTTGTCATAATCCCTTGATTAAATAATTCAAAGCACGCAAAATACCAGCAAAAAACACATCTCTAGTGTCTTTAGTTTAACTTAAAATATTTGCAAATATTCAGAACCTGGTATTACAAGTCATACCTGTCCATTTAAAATCCTTGTAAAAAGGGTGTTCTTGTCTTTCAATTTTAGCTCAAGATCCATAAATGTCAGTTTATTTGTGCTGACTTGAAATCTGTCATTAGTGAACAATGCACCAGATATTCTATTGTAGCATTCAATTGGCGCAAGCCCTCTCTTCTTAGGAGGAGTACACCAGTCAAAGCTTGAACGGAACAAAATACCAGTTAGTGAAGATTAGGTTATAAAACTACATATTTTTAGCAAAAATAAAAACTTACTCTTCAACTGATGTGTATGGTATTAATCGTCCATTCCAAAAACATTCAAAAATAGGTCTTTTCCCTCTTGCTGCTTTCTCAAGTACGAAACAATCATCATCATCGTCATCATCTTTTAATCCTAGATTAAAAGGTGAAGTTGAGCCAAATACTTATTTTTATAAGGTAGGAGCAATTCTTATTACTGAGAAGTCAGTTTCTAACACAGCTGTGACCCATTAAAACTGCTTCAGTGAAACGGTAACACAAAACCACATATGATCCTTCAAACTGCATTTCAAAAATCTAAAGTTAGTTTCACTATGCCCTCAAAATGGCAGATTTCTAAAGCGGTTTCACATTGGTAACAGTTTACTGTTTAAAGTTTATAATTAATTATATACTAATCAGCCTGTGCTACGAGTAGCAGGCTAGCTGATTAGCCTGAGACCTTTCAAGCTATTTACAGTGTCACAGACCCAAACAAGATTCTGTCCTAGAGCAAAACCCCTCTCCCCACACAGGTAGGTGCTAAATTCCGTTATCTAAAACACGCAAGGTCTAGAGTTCGATTCCTCGTACCAAAAAAACCCAGAGAAATTCTGTAGGACAAGTACACATAAAAAATTATCTGAGAAATTTAAAGTATCTACTAGCAGTGAGTTTATCTACTGTGGACAAATTAGTCAATGATACTGAGTTTAATTTTATATAAACAACTACACTGTTAACGATCAGATACAGGTAGGTATGAAATTTGTGTCCAGAAATGTTACCAAGCATGCAAACTATAATTAGCACAATTATTTGTAACATTAGAGTGCTTGTTAGCAATATGTTCATTTATACTGATTAGCTGAGATCCAACATTATTAATTAACTCCTTAGCTGTCCTGCAGTGAAGTCATCCACCTAAATTAATGCTGCCTCCTCCTTTCAAAAAGCCGCCTATGAAGTCCTTCTGTAGAAGATCCTTGCAATCAAACCATATCACTGCCAGAACCCCCCTGAGCATCACTCAACTTACTGGCTCTTATTTTTAAGACATTACTTGAGGACTAGTATCTCTTTGTCTGCAAGCACACAGAAATCAGAAACAGCGACTCAAGTAGGTTCAGTGGGACCACAGGAGGCAGTCGCTGAGTGTCACGCGTGCTGTGCAGTCCTCTTATGACCCTGCCTCAGTCTCTTCGACAGCCCTCACAGCCCCTCTATGAAGCGGCTAGCAACTGTTACCCCTTTCACAGGTGAGGAAACTAAGGCAGAGAACAGTTCTTCCAAAATTATACAATAGAAAGTGGCGAAGCTGGGATTCAGCTCAGTAAATCTGGCTGCAGGACCCAGAAAACTAAGGATGCATGGTGGCGCACTCCTATAATCCCAGCACTTGGGAGGCTGAGGCAGGAGGATTGTTGCGAGTTCGAGACCAACCTCGGCTACAAAGTGAGTTCAAGGCCAGCCTGAACTGCATAGCGAGACCCTGTCTCAAAAAGACCAAAAAAAAAAGAAAAAGAAAAATCTGGAACATAAAAACCTAACAAAACTTGCATAAGAAAAAAGAAGTTTAATATTTAATTATCTAACTAATAGTCCAACTGCAAACCATTACTTTTGGTACAACCACTACTGTATACCACAATACCACATGTGTAGTTAGAACAAAAAACATACTTGATGGGAAACAAGGATCATCAGGGTACGTTTCTCTATCATATAAGAAAGGGTGGTATCGGATAATCCCTTCCACTATACCGTCTCCTTCAACGTGGGCCTTGAACTCAAAACTATCAGATGCTGTGTTGATATACAATGTCTGCATGTCATCTTGTATTTCCCTTAGGTTGACAATCTTAGGTGCCTTCCCTTTTTCAAACATAGAAATCTAAAATAAAAATAAAAATAATTAACTACTACAGTGAATTGATTTTTTTTCTCAGTCATGATCCAACAACAGAACAGGCAAAAACTACCTTTATTTGTATAAGTAATTATCTAGCTTAATGAAACATATACATTTATATATGGGTTGAAAAGCTGTAGGCAGCACCTTTGTAAGGAATACAGTACTAAAAAAGTAAGCACAGAAATAGCAAATAAGAGGCAAAGGACAGATAAGTAATGACCACATTTAATTCAAGGTTTCAACATTCTAAGTGAAACTTCAATGTGCAGATAAGAATACTGACAACCCAACGTTCAAATGTCCTGTGCTTTAATCTCACTGTAAGACTTAAAAGAAAACTATGATTCTCACACTCTCACACACATTCATTCTCCTTGTTTCAAGACCTGATGATCGGGCTAGGGATTTAGCTCAGCGGCAAAAGCGCCTGCCTGGCAAGCGCAAGGTCGTGAGTTCGATTCCCGGTACTGGAGAAAAACCAAAAACAAAACAAACAAACAAAAAAAACAAAAAAAGACCTGATGATCAACATCAATTTCTTTCTCTATAGGACAGGAAAAAGAGAGTACTACGGCAAAGATTAATAAACTGACTATCCAGGAATGATCTTTTCATCCGGATACCAAATAACCAAAGTATACTGGTTACACACAAGGACAGAGTTGTTGTCTGATTTTTGTCATCCAGAGTTGTGTGGGACTGGTGCAATTATCTGGTCATTTGTATTTTTCATATTTTAAACTGGGTTCTTATCTTACTTCAATATCAATATTGTTGAAAGGTCCAACTTCTTTTGATGTACATATTTCATTTCCTTTTGGTCCATGAATATAATAATGATAAATATGCCTAGAAAAAGAAAAATAACTTTATACTTTCAACTCACATAAATTATAGTTTGTATAATCTTCTACCAAAAACAATTTTACAGCTCTATTTAATAGCACTTTCTAAGTGCCAAACACCTTGGTTTCATTAGACTTTTTCTGGTCCTGGGGATCAAACCCAGAACTACACACACACTCAGCAGGTCATCTACCACGGATCTACATCCTGAGCCAACCCCACCTTCTGAATTTTTTAATACATTAACCCAATGTTAAAAGTAATTCTGAAAATGCAGGTACTTTTTTTTTTTTTTTTTGGTCTTTCTGAGACAGGGTCTCACTATGCAGTTCAGACTGGCCTTGAGCTCACTTTGTAGCCCAGGCTGGCCTCGAACTTGCAACGATCCTCCTGCCTCAGCCTCTCGAGTACTGGGATTAGAGGCATGCGCTACCACGCCCGGCTGAAAATGTAGGTACTTTTACATCTCATTTTATAGATACAGAAAGTGGGGGGCAAGAAGTGCATGTTAAATTATAAGGTCACAGCACTACAGTTAAGAGGAGGAAGGCTTCAATCCAAGCCTTTCCAACTTCAAAACTCACATACTTTGTACTGCCACAAAGTACAGTTTATCAAATAATTACAAACTAGAAGGCAAGGATCTATAATGCTACCTGTTAAGAAAGTATTCAAATGGGACTAGACTAAACTGCGTATCTTTAAATAATCTCAGCAGGAGAATATTCTAGAACTTTCATATTTTCTCTTCTATGGCACTGAAACAATCTTATCTCAACATTTCAAAAGACAGGGGCTGGGGATTTAGCTCAGCGGCACAGCGCCTGCCTGGCAAGTGCAAGGTCGTAAGTTCAATAGTTCGATTCCCCGTACGAGGGGGTGGGGGGAGACACGGGACAACACGGACCAACACATTCCAAAAGACAAAACTACTACATTGTACAACAACACCCTACTGAAAACCACCACTTCAAAAATCATTGCTACCTTATTTTTTAAGTAAAAGTTAACCATATTTTGGTGAATTAAGATTACTTAAAATGTATCTTTAGGGCTGCGGATATAGCTCAGCAGCACAGCACCTGCCTGGCAAGCACGAGGTCTTGAGTTTGATTCCTGGTACCTAAAAAACCCCATATATATATATGGGTTACAGCAACTCTTTAATATGCCACTGATGCCAGGTATGGTGGCATGTGGCACTCCGGGAAGCTGAGGCAGGAGAATGCCAAGTTTTGAGCCCAGCCTAGGCACTGCAGCATCTGAGTGAGACCCGTGTCAAAATATGAAAGTGCTGGGAATGGTCCAGTGGGGAAGTGTTGGGTTGAGTCTCCAGTACCAAAGGAGGCGGGGGAGGGGGGAATATGAATATTGTACAGATGTACCAATTTCACAAAACAGTAATTCAGATGATGTGTATTATGGAAACAGTCCAATAAATGTTATGTATCCTATCCTACAGGCATACGAAAAAGCTCATAGCCATTACATAAATATTCCTCTGATTTGGTCTAATGGACATACGTACTGCTTTACCAGAATAAACACACAATGATTTAAGTATTACTAATAGGATATATACTACACACATGTATTTTTTAATGGGCTCGATGCATGCATGTGCTAAACGTCTGCTCAGCATTTACTATGAGCAGTTATTCCTCTAGAAAATAAAGATGAAACAGTGAATGAAAAGATTCACTGAATGAAGGCAGACAAAAAATGCAGTGCACAAGACTGTAAACATACTACAGAAAAGCAGCACACAACAGGGGCATAGCAGTAACACAGCTAAATTTGATAAATTCGGAGGTTCATTTTTCATTTCATAACAAGTGTCAAATATCCAGTGCCTCAATGGTCAGGTGATCTATAACATTCACAGAATAAATGAATAGAGAATCCTTTTGACACCAACATCAAAATACTGGATTCTGTACTAAAAGGAAGAAAATTAGACAAAAATGATAACCAAGAGGCTTCAGCATTATCTGTAATGTTTTCTATCTTTAAAAAGTAGCAACATTTCATGAACGAAATATAATTACTTACGCTAACTGTCGAGTCCAAAGATGGAAATAGTTTTTCAGGTACTGTATATGTTCTGTTTGTACCCCTGTAATAACCACAGCAGTAAAGCTATCTTTTTCCTTCTCCTCTAAGATAAGATTATGTAGAAATCGTTCATCGTCATTTATAATATGAACGGAATCAGATGGCTACAAGAGTGAATACAAATATAACAGATTATACCATGTAAATTATAATTATACAGGTAATTATTATATTAATTTTAATGTGATTCACTTGGGCAGGCTGCCAAAACAATCTTCAGTAAAATGTGGAGGAAACTGTCCCAGTACAACAAACTAGGAGCATGTGTGACCAAACTGTAAGGATGGGAGACCTTTCACACAGACAACGCACTGGCACACATAAAAACATCTATTTCACAATGCAAAACCAATTTTAGGCTCATAAAAGAAAAGGTAAAAACGAACACTGAGTTTTAAAATGCCTCTTTAAAAAATGGAGGGCAGGGGCTGGGGATTTAGCTCAGCGGCAAAGCGCCTGCCTGGCAAGCGCAAGGTCATGAGTTCGATTCCTGGTACCAGAAGAAAAAACAAACAAACAACAAAAAAAAAATGAGGGCAGTAACCTTAGGATGAGTAACCTTTTTGCTTGGGATACTTACCACTTAACTGAGTCAGGGCCAGCGCCCAGCCCTCCACAATCAAGACAACCAGGGGCTGTCCGGACCCACAGGTTTAGCCCAGTGATGCTGTGTTTAGGAGGAGTAGATCAGGCTGGGGAGTTAGCTCAGTGACACAGCACCTGCCTGGCAAGTGTGAGGTCATGAGTTTGATGCCCGGTACCAAAAAAAAAAAAAAAGGGAGTAGATCACTGTGGGCACCAGGCCACTGTCAGAGACTGCCTAGATCTGTGCAAAGGAAGTGGGAAAGATCTAAGAATCACAAATTTCTCCATCTTTAGCAAGAGTCTATGTGTTAACCATTACACAGATATATGCATATATGGCCACACACACTGTGTATGTTTCTACATATACAATAAATACACAGACAAACATTAAACTATTATCTCAAGGAAACTGGTTGTTTTGTAAAATAAGAACACCAGGGTTGAGGAGATTCAATAAATGTAAGCTGGAAAGAACTATTCTAGAGAATAAAAGGACTAGATACCCACTGGTAAAGATGAAATGCTTACTGAGATGAATTGAGCACAAAACATGGAAAAAGCTAGAGAAAACATGACCAAGATATCCCAGCTCTATCTACACTTCATACAATCTATAGAGCTCTCAAACTCTTAATTCCCATTTTGTACCTGCTTTAACATAGTAAGCAGTACGTCAACCGATGTATTTTACAAGGCTTTACAATGGCTCAAGAAGATGGAATAATTACAGGAATATTCTAGAATATGTAACTCGTTAAACAGATGCAACACGTTTGAAGCAGAGGAAAGCAAAATTAAGGAAATTTCTTGGACAGAAAGAATGTTTACATTTATAGAAAATAAAAGTGGCTAATACACATGAAGAAAACAGTTCAGCCAGCTAGTAATTAAAGGAAAGGTATTATTTTCACCTATTAAAGTGCTACCTTTTCGCTTCTCATTTTTTCTAAAAATAAGGAAATGATTTGATTGGCACGTCTATACACAACTGCTGGAATCTATGATTTTTTTTTAGTTTAACCTTTCAGACAAGCAATTTTTAATACATACTATGGACATTTTAAAAATTCAAATTCACTGTCACAGTTATTAAAGTTCTGTAATTCTGCCAGCTTTGGAAACACAAACCTGTAATCCCAGCAGATGGGAGGCTAAGCAAGGAGGATCTTGAGTTCAAGGCCAGTTCACACTACACAGCACATTTGAAATGAGACCCAGCGTCAAAACAAGAACAAACAAACCCAAAAAGCCATTTCTGGACCAGGGATACAGCTCAGGGGCATGGTGCTGCTTAGCAAGCACAAGGTCCTCAGTTTGATTCCTGGCACCCCGCCCCCCAAAAAAGCCATTTGTATTTTTAAAAATCTGTAATTCAGGAAAAATACTATACAAAGATATTGCCATGAATATCTTTGTGCAAAATCTTTTAAATATGCTAAACACTCAACAATAGCTAAATACCATTCATCTTCAAAGAAACTATTCTAAAGCTAGTAATGTACTGTATACTAACATATTTTATAAAATTGGGAAATACTCAAAAAGGTGATTTAAGAAAAGCAGGATCAAAACTAAAAAAGTAAACTAAAAGGAAATCCACCAAAATGCTATCAGAACTTTTCTCCCACGGAATATTTTTATTTTTTTTAGACTTTCCTATAAAATTTTCTATGATTTATTTAAAATCAGCAACTTTTTAAATGTTCAAAACTAAAGGTTTTTCTGGGTGCAGTGGTGCACAGCTGTAACCCCAGCACTTGGATCACAAATCTGAGGCCAGACTAGGCCATGTATAAGTTCAAAACCACCACACAGTGAGATCCTTCTCAAAAGACCAAAAAAAGTTCTTTTTTTTTTTGGTACCAGGAATTGAACTCAGGACCCTGCGCTTGCCAGACAGGCACTTGTGCTGCTGAGCTATATCCCTGGCCCATAAAAAAGTTTCAAACAGAAAGTTGAAGAAACATATAACAAATACCATGTATTCACTTTTAAGACTCAAATTTGTTATTATATGTTACAATTTAAAAACTAGCAATAAAAATCTTTCACTTCTCATTTATCTGTCTGGCACTCAGATTTCCTGAAAGTCCACTACCCTGACATTCTCTCTGTACTCTACCTTCTATGATTATTTTATAACGAAGACTTTAAAACCCAGAATCAGACCAAAGAAAAACGTTTACAGCTGGAATCAGATCCCAGGGCCTTTGCACTAAGCTGCACCCCTAACCCTTACTTTATTTTTGAGCTAAGAATCTCACTAAGTCACCAAGTTGCCCAGGCTGGTGGAAGTGAGTTTGTGATCCTTCTTCCTGAGCCTCCCCCAGTGCCGGTAAAAGTTTACAACTTAATGAGCAATTGACAGAAGGCTTATTAAGATTTTGATACAATTTACTATATGAAAACTTTTAGTCTAAGAAATTTTTGCTACTCACTTGATTAAAGGAAAAAGAATGAAAAAGCTAAGTAACCCATTTGGAAAATTCTTATTTATTTATGTATGTCTGTATGTATGTATGTATCGGGAATCAAACTCAGGACCTTACACTTGCCAGGCAGGTGCTTGTAGCCACCGAGCTATACCCCTAACCTTACATTTTTAAAACAGCAATCCTCCTGTCTTGTTATAAATTTGGAAACAAAGTTCCACTCTGTCATCTGTTCAAATACATTTACATTTCAAGTGAAAATGTATCATACCTTTCTGTTTCTAATGTATCCACTATATATGGCCTCCTTATTTTTTTCCTTCTTCTCAAAATCTTCTTTAGAAAGCACAAGCTCATGAACATCTTGGGAATCTGCAGGTTTGCTTATCATCTGTCAAATATTAAAAAAAAGAGTACTTTAAAAACTCTTAACAAAAGATAAATAAGTAAAATAAAAACTCTTCACAGTTAAAACTAGTCAACATAAAAATACTGTGATAAACTTGCACTTCTAAGAAACCTTTTCACTCACCCTGGCTGATTGTCCAACAAAGAAAACAGCTTGCTTGCCGCCAACACCAAAATAGGAAATATCACTATTTAAGCTGCGTGGAACTGGTACTGGACGGACATAACCCGAATGATCACTACAAGAAAACAGTACATTAGTGCAGTGATTTTAAATCTGCTGAACACTAAGAGAAAGTTCTATACCACATTCATTAAATCTTAACAAAATAATCTCCAAGTCAGCTACCACCCCAAGCTCAAGCGTGGGAGAAGCAGGGCTGCAAATCGAGGTATCATTGGTCTAGCGGGCTTTCCGAGTGCAGTCCTTAGACCGCTGAGCCAGGTCTCCCTGGAAACTGTAAGAAATGAAAATGAAGCCTAAAATTTTGGGTCCCTAGGTTCTCAGCAAACAGGACTAATAAATCGAGAACCTTCCCTCAAAGTTGTTTGCTACCTCACAACTTACTAAAATTTTCCCTAAATAATAGTGGCCTTTGAAGATATCAATATGTAATACAACCACCATTGTTAATTCTCTACCACTTTGTTTGTAACTCTGTATTGTCTGTATTGTGCTTGTGATATGTTGTAAAATGTTGTATGTCTGTTAATGTTTCCCTCCTTTTATCTTTAAAATTAAAAAAAAAAAAAAATAGTGGCGAGTAGAGCAAAAGAGATTCCCATCTGCCTGCATTATGACAAATGAAGAGCCACGGGAGCCTTCTACTGTACTGTAACTACGGTCTTCCAAACAGGGAAGGGCACCAGGGACGTTTCCTGGTATTAGAAATCAACAGAACTGGGGTAAGGTTGGAACCACTATTATTATTATTATTGTTGTTATTGTTATATTTGACAGCACTGGGGATTGAACTCAGGGCCTTCTTGTGCGTGCTACACAAATGCTCTACCAGTCAACTATAATCCCTAGTCCTTTTGTAAACTTTGAGACAGGGTCTCACCAACTTGCCCACGCTGGCTTCAATCTGTGATTCTCCTGCCTCTCAAACAGCTGGGATTACAGACATGCACCACCATGACCAGCTTTGCAAGGGCTAGGGGCTCTGGCTCCGTGGTAGAGTCCTGTGGTACAGGCAATGCCCGGGTTCGCCCCCCAGTACCACAGGAAAGACAACAACAGCAGCACTCAGGAGGATGAGGCAGAGGATCAGGAGTTTGGGTGCCAGCTGGTCAATTTAGCGAGATTCTATCTCAAAAAAACAAAAAACAAGCCAAGAATACCAGATGTGACATCACTGCTGTGGGGTGGGGGGGCTGGTTTCAGAAAACAGGAAGATAAATTCAGGTAACTTACCCATAAGAAACAAAGAAAATTTTAAGGTGAAATTAAAGGATATGAATGACCAAAGGTAAATACCTCATTCAAGTTTTAATGTAGTTCTAGAAAGGGGATAATGGATACTTGCAAATATTCTCAAACCAACAGATATGGCTTCACAGATTCAGGAAGACCAATAGAGCTCAAAAAGCAAAGAAAAACAAAATCTACATCACCATAAACATCCAAACAAAAGCAACACCGAAGAATGAGAAAACAGGTCGTGAGAACAAAAAATTGTAACTGGCTAGCAGGGCTTGACATCATCAGTAAAAAAAAAAAAATAGGTGGGTGTGATAGTACACACTTGTAATCCCAGCACTTTGGGAAAGTGAAGCTGGAGGATCACAAGTTTGAGCCCTACCTGGGCAACTTACTGAGACCCTGATTCAAAATTATAAAAATGAAAAAGGCTGGAGATGTAGCCCAGTGGCAGAGCACACCTGGCTTCAATCCCTAGTACCTGGACAGGCGGTGGGGACACTTACCTCCAGCAGAAATGCACACCCACCCTATAAAACACACACTACTCCCCAATGACTAAAAAAAGATAATACACACTGAGATCCAAAGCTAAGACTATCACAAGATTTATTATCAGAAACTAGGCAAGCCCGAAGAAAACTGAGTGACATCTTTTCTGTAGTTGGTCAAATTTCTTAAAAAGTCAACTTAAAAACCTCTGCTTAGCAACAGTATCTTTAAAGGTGATGGAAAATAAGAAATCTTGACTTTGTTAAATGTAAAAAGCTGAAAAAAAATCAAGAGCAGACCCAAGTTATAAAAAATATTAAAGAAATATCTTGAGGAAAGAAGATGATACTAGACAGCTCTACACAGAGGAATGAAAGTGGATCCTAAAAGGATAAACACAAACTTAGGGACTCAAGTACTTGCATGACAAAGGTTCACGGCAGCACTAATGCAATAGATAAAAGGGAGAAACAAGCCCAAGTCCACCAACTTGTAAGCAGACATCTTCCAATGTGGCCCAGCAGTACGGTGCAAATGATGCGCCCACATCCGGGAGTGGCGCTGCAATACCTGATGTACACAGCAACAGCGACAAGCCTCGTGAAGATTACACCAAGATAAATCAGACACGAAAGGACAGGCACTACACAATCCCACAAGAAGGTGGCGCCAGGAAAAGGCAGCTTCACTGAGGTAAAAGCGAGAATTGTGGTAACTAGGACCTAGAGTCGGGAGTGACTGTTTAGGGACTGCAGACTTTTCATTTCGGGGTGGAGAGGGAAACTTCTTTGGAAATACCTAATAGTAACGGGTGCAAAACACTACAATGTAATTAATGTCACCGCACTGTACACTTTCAAATGGCTAAAATGGTGAATTTCATTCTACCACAATTTTTAAAAAAGATTGGTTAAAAAAGGGACAGCACAGTATGTTACTGGAACGTAAGTCAAGAAAAGTCAGGAAACTGAGAATCTTCTTACACTGAAGAGAGGCAACTATTTGAAGCAAAATAACAAAGATATGCTTTGCTATTTATAATACAGGTCAAAGTAAAATGCATAAAAGTAAAAGCATACAGAGTAAATGGAAGTATGCCATTATAACATATGCATGTGTAAAGTGGTATACTATTCCTTGATATACTATGCTAAAGAACCCTAAAGTTACCAATAAAACAGTAAGTAGATAATCAGACAAAAAGAGAGATAAAATGGAATCACACACACAAAATACTCGATGTGAAATGAAACAAACAGGAAAAAAATAAAACAGCCCAGAAAAAAAAATTTAAAAGATTACGTTTAAATCCAACTATGCCCCTAGCACTTGAGAGGCTGAGGCAGGAAGATTGCCATGAGTTCAAGGCCAGCCTAGGCTACACAGTGAGTTCAAGGCCAGCCTGAACTCCACAGCAAGATCTGTCTCAAAAAATATAAAAAAATAAAAATCCAAACATACCAACAACAACATTAAACAGAACTAGGGCTGGGGATATAGCTCAGCGGCTATATCCTGGCAAGTGCCTGCCTGGCAAGTGCCTATATCCTGGCAAGTGCCTGCCTGGCAAGTACAAGGTCCTGAGTTTAATTCCCAGTACCAAAAACAAAACAAACAAACACAACTGGCCTAAAAGTCCCAATTAAAGGCAGAAACTGTCAAATATTAAGATACAAGTACCTACTGCCTAAATGAGTAAGACAACAGATTAAAAGGTTGGAAGAGGAGTTACCATTTTAACACTAATGAAAAGAAAGCCAGAAAGCTGGGCACTGCAGCTTGTGCATCTAATTCTAGCACGGAAAAAAAGAAGCAGGAGAATGTCATGTTTGAGCCCAACCTGGGCAACTTAGCAAGACCCTGCCTCTGGAAAAAAAAAATTACAAAAAGGGCTGGAAATGTAGTTCAGTGTGAAGGCCCTATATTCAATCCCTAGGATGGATGGATGGATGGATGGATGGAAGGAAGGAAGGAAGGAAGGAAGGAAGGAAGGAAGGAAGGAAGGGGAAAAGGAAAAGGAAACAGAAAAGAAAAAGGAAAAAAGAAAGCAGGCCAGAGAGACTACAGTACCAATATCTGAGCAGACCACCACCGCTGGATGTGGTGGGCACCCTACTGTCCCAGGACTCTGGACAGCGAGGTAGGACGGCTGTAAGGGCAACCTGGCAGCTTAGCAAGATCCTGTCTCCATAAATCAACCAACCACAGCGAGCAGACCATGGCGGCGCATACCTGTCTGTAATTCTAGCATTTGGGAGGGTAAGGCAGGAGGTCAAGAACAGGAGACCAGCCTGGACTACACAGCAAGCTCAAGGCCACCAGGTAATACAGATTGAGACCCTACTTCAAAAATCAACAAAAACAAATAAAAGACAATGGCGCATTTATCCATAGACTGAACTCAAAGAGATACATCAGAGACAGAATCTTGAAAGCAGGAAGGGAAAAGGGACTTGTTACTCAGAAGGGATCACTGCCAGGCATAGCAGGGCACACCTGTAATCCCAGCACACGGGCTGAGGAAAAAGATCGTAAATTCAGGCATAGCCTGAACAACTTCCATCCAAGTACCAACCAGGCCCAACCCTGCTTAGCTTCCTAGATCAGACGAGATCGGGCGCATTCAGGGTAGTATGGCCGTAGACCAGCCTGAACAACTTAGTGAGACCGTGTCTTAAAAATAATAATAAAAAAATAACGGACTGGGGATGTAACTCAGGTTCATGGGTTCAATCTCCAGTACTGAAGAGAGAAAAAAAGGGAAGAATCCTCAATAAGATTACAGCTAATTTCTCACCAGAAACCACATAGCCAAAAGGCAGGGGCCTAACATACTCAGAGTACTTAAATCAAGACTGTCAACCCGCACAAATAGCCCACAAAAATAATGGCAAGAGTAAGACATTCCCAGACATATAAAACTGAAGGAATTCTTCACTAGCAAATCTACCCTTCAGCAGCTACTGAAGACAGTTCTTCAGAGGCAAATGAAAAGGATACTGGAGTACCCCAAATGCCTATGAAGGGATAAATAAAGTAAGGTGGAAGCAACTCTACAAATACATACAAAAGGCAGGACTAACGTATTTTTATTTGTAACTATTCTATCTTATTTAAAAGATAACTGCATAAAACTGTAAGTATAAAACAGTATCAGTGGTGTTACAATATGTAAATATGTCATTTATATGAAAATAACAGCACATTATAGTGGGAAGGGATGGAAGCCATATATATAGAAGAAACATTTCTATACACTGCAGACACTAAATTGGCATTAATCCAAACTGGACTGTTGAGGATTAAGATGCTTAATCTAATCCCTTGAAAAACAGCTAAAATATAGATTAACAACTATTAAAAGTATATCATTAGCCAGGCATGGTGGTGCACACCTGTAATCCTAACACTTAGGAAGCTGAGGCAGGGGGAGTGCGGTGAGTTTAAGGCCAGCCTGGGCTATATGGTGAGTTCAAGGCCAGTCTGCACTACACAGCAGCACGCTGTCCCCCCACCCCCAAAAAGTACACAATTAGTGCTAGGTGTAGTGGTGCATGCCTGTAATCTCAACTATGAGGTGCTGGTGCAGAAGGATCACAAGTCTTGGAAATTTAGTAAAACCCTGTCTCAAAATAAAAAGGGCTGGAGAAATAGCTGAATACTAGAGCATTTGCCTAGCATGCTCTAGGACCTGGGTTCACCCTAGTATTGCAAAAGCAAACAAACAAAATATATTAGTGATTAGCAGGAATGAGGGGGAGAGTGTAGTGATTAAAACTGGGCACAAGATTTAAAGTAGTGAGAATGTTCTGAAATTGAGGATGACGGCTGTACAACTTCATCACTACCCTCACAATGACTCAACTGTATTCTTTAATACAGTGAATACTGTGGTATGTGAATCATCTATAAAAAACTAAACCAATGAAGACATATTTAAAATAGATATGTACTGGGCCAGGGATATAGATCAGCGGCACAACCTGGCTGGCAAGCACAAGGTCCTGAGCTCGACTGCCGGTACCAAAAAAAAAAAAAAAAGTACGTACTTTTCACTGCATATAAATTTTCACTGCATATAAAGAATATAAACTATAAAGTCCAAGGAATGATGCCAACACTTTAAGTATTAGAATATATATGCAGAATATCGATAATTTATTTTGAACTACTTCAAAAAAGATATACTAATGCTGGTAGGATAGACAGGTATATGGGAAAGCACTACAAATAACAGAACCTAGGTGTAAGTATACAGGTCTTCACTGTACAATTTCAGCTCTTCTGTATGTTTGCAAATGTTCATGGTAAAGAAAATAACACTGAGTAAACACTAAGATTCAGGTTGTCAACCATTCTACAAGAGACTAGCTTGAATTCTAAAAATAAAAAAGGACATTATAAAAAACAAAAAGATGGAATTATTGTAAAAGAGACTAGACTAGAAAGACACAACAATAGAAAAAAATTTAAGTATTACATTAGACATTGTTGCAAAAATGAGAAATGCCCCTGGAGTCAGAACACACATTATACTGTAAGGACTGAAATATCAGAATGCCTGCCACACACAGTACTTCAAATGATTCAAAGAAAGGAGACAGAGAGGGAGCGAGACAATATAAATGTGACCGTGTGAACACCTGATAAGTCTAGGTAAAGAAGAAAGGAGATATGGGAGCTAGTACTGTTCTTTCAACTTATCTGTTTGCTTGAAATTCTTCACCATCAAAAGGGTGCAGGGAGAGGGCAGCTGTCAGGTAAAGAGGGTTACCAAGAGTACTGCCACATTCAAATTCTCCTCTCACCTCCCTCGACTGTCCCCTTCGTACTGTAGGCCCAACCACAACAGTCTCCCTTCTGCCCCTCACACAAAGCAAGACTCGCCATTTCACTATCATTGCCTTGTGGACATTTCTCTTCCCATTCAAACCTCAACCCAACCATAAAGTCAAAGAGGCCTCTTCTCTGGCTTGCTTCAGGGAGGTGGCCATCAGCTTTTTCACACCACTTTCCATTTTCTTCACACTATAATAACTTACTTGCTTACAAATATAATTGTGTGTGTTTCCTTCTGTTTCCCTAATATAACGTAAGTTACAAGACAAAACTTACAACTGACCTATACGCCATGCCTTCTATTTCCTCTTTTCCCATAGCCCACCATGGCATCAATTCTTTTTATTTTTCAGTGTTTTGAGACATAGTCTCCATACGTAGCCTATGGTGGCCTCCAGCTTAAAATCCCCCTGCCTCAGGAGCCCAAATGCTGCAATTATAAAGTGAGGCCCTATAAAGCTAGGATCAAAACCAGCAACAGAAAGATTTTTTATCAGAAATTAACATTTCCCTAACATTAAGTTAAGTTTCAAAAGTTTTGGCTGCTACAATCCACAAGGCCCTGGTTCAATCCCCAGCTCTGCCAAAAGTAAGTAAAAGTTGGTGTTAAGACCTGGAGAAAATCCAGCCAATATCCCCCAAGAATCCCGTGAAGGTTTCATTGTGACAAACTGTAAAAAACATCTTTATACTCTTCCAACTAACTTTACCAATATTTTCCTGAACTTTTTGCCTAGTTTACCACCTGTTCTCCTTTCCCTTCTGCCTAATACTCTGATCAAATGCCAAATCCCATCTTCACACACACACAAAAAAAGCAAGTCCCTCGCAGAAAAAAACCCGGTGGTCTTTGCCTTCTCTCTGGCTGATGAACCCTGTAAGTGGTAACATTCACGAAAATGGTAAAGAACGCTGGCTGTGGAAAAGTCTGAGACCAGGAATGAAGAAACGACTAAGACGATAGCTTGTCCTAACTATCTGTTCATTATGATGGGCTCTGTCCTAAGGATTTTACATATCCTAACTCTGTGTTTACAAACCTCTGGGTTATTTTCTCCATTTCACAAGTAAATTGGGCCACAGAGAAAAAAAGTACTTAACCAGTATCACACAAGTAGCAGGTGGCAAAGCTAGAATTCAAACCAGGCCAAACGCCACCAGAGGGGTGGGATGAGCTCAGAGGTAAAGCACTTGCCCAGCAACACGAGACCCTGGGTTTGGCTGTCAGCAACCTGGCTGTCCCCAATAAAGACACACCGGATGGTGAATTTGATGAAAATTCTAAGGGTGCTGAAATTTCAAGTTGAGAAAGTGTATATGGTACTAATACATTAATATAGCTACATTAATTTAACGTGTTACTAAGATTGAACTTAATGTGTGACTTCTAGAGAAAAGAGCGGAACAGGCTATGAACTCTAATTACTAAGCAAGAATGCCAAAAGATTCTCTCTACAAACACTACCTGAAGTACACAACATAGCTCACAATATGAAGTCTTGCAGGTCAAAGATTTTCTTGCTAGTGTTCTACTAATGCCAGACAAATCTAAACCTTTATATCTATCCTCAACAGCTTTTAGCATATTTTATGTTCCCTATGACACCTCAGGATATTTTTTATAAGTATATTATGATACGAAACTCATGACTGAATTCTACTCCCTAATAACTGGTATTTTGAAAACAAAGCCCTCAAAGTTGAAAAATAGTGAGGGTACGGAACTACATTTTCTAAGTGACATGAAGTGAGCAAAGCCCACATTAAAACCATTCTAGGCCAGATGCGGTGGCACACACCTGTAATCCCAACTCTCGGGAGGCTGAGGCAGGAGGATCGTTGCGAGTTCAAGACCGGTCTGGGCTACAAAGTGAGCTCAAGGCCAGCCTGAACTGCATAGTGAGACCCTGTCTCAAAAAGACAAAAGAAAGAAAAAACACCATTCTACAGCTGTATTTGGGGGGGTGGGGTTACCAGGAATCAAACTCAGGACCTAGCACTTGCCAGGCAGGCCCTATGCCACTGAGCAGTTTTTATCACACTTAAGTTAGTATGGAAAGGAAGAACGCTCTAGGTACTCAACATACCAACAGAACTAGATACCTCTGGAAATACAAGCCTTCAATGGAAAGGCACAGCATGATGTGGTTCTATTTCTGAATACTGACCATAAAAGTGATACAACAAAAAACCCAACTAAACATGCTGATAACAGCAAAATCTCTAATGTATCATGTATATCTAAGGACACATCTGAATTTTTATCCTTATTAAAATACACTGCTATTCATAAAAAAGTAAGATTCTCTAACCTTTCAAAGTCACCTTGCCTTGTAAATTTTGACAACCTATACACAGCCCAGTTGTTAAGCTGTTTAGAGGTCATTCCTCTTCCATTATCCACCACTGCAACCGCAGGTTTTCCTTGTGTTTCATCAAAAAGCTACGGAACGAAATAAGTTCAAAAGACAGGAAACATCAGTATTTCAAACATGAAAAGTCAAATATGAAAATAAGCGATTTAATAGGCTCACTCATACATTGCTGATGCTAGTATAAAGTCAGACAACTTTCAGAAAGACACTTCATGAAGAGCTACCTACTCACAGCCTTAAAACGTTTCATCACTTAAATCAAAAAATTCCATTCCTCAGAACTTAAGAAAATAACCAGAGATGTATACAGTCATGCAAACAATATTCATCACTTCAGCACTGCTTCTAATGGCAAAAATATACAAAAAAATCTGCCAGTAACACAAGATTGATTATGTAACTTATGTCTAATAACTCACTCTGCAAAAGTGGAGTATATTGCAAAATGTTTGTATGTCAAATGTATACAATGTACAGTTAAGCAGAAGATCACAAAAACCAAAATGTAAATATACACATATATACATATGTATAGAAAAAAGAACCTGTCAAGCTAGGCATGGTGGTATACACCTATAATCCCAGCACTTCAGAAGGCTTAGGCAGAAGGATAACAAATTCAAGCCTACCATGGCAACTTAGCAGAATCCTATCTCAAAATAAAAAATAAAACAGTACTTGAACATAGCTCAGTGCAAATGCCCTAGTTTCAATCCTGAATATTGGGGTCGGGGAAAGGATCAATGAAAAAAATTTAACAATAGATGCAGAGACATCACACAATTATTTCTACTTTTCATTTCTTTCCTATTTTTCCTCTATTCAATTTGTATTATTAGAAAAATTAAAATTCCTTATGTATTATTTTCTTACCAATTTGATCTGTATTCTTCTAATACCAACATTACGAGAAGTTGCAGACAATGAATTGTCAATTAATTCCGCAAGAGCAAATGCTGGAAGAGATTGAGAAAACATTACTGCTTAACTTTTCCCTCCCAAATACTTCACATAAAAGCTCAAAGTAGAAGAAGTTCTGAAGGCTCTTAAAGCCAGCACTCTTAATTTCCAGAGAACTGAAGTATTAGCCCGGCCTTAACGACACAATACACAACACAGGCATCATCATCAATCACAACCAGTATAACAAATCATCAACGACGAGTCGTTGTAGGCACTAGACATCCTGAGTCAGCCAGCCAGGACTCCTGCTGCGAGACTTTGAAGACAGACATAAAGACACGAGACAGACAAAAGACCATGGCCAGAGAATCAGACAGTAGGCTGTGGTATGTAATTATTTCACGCACAAATCAAACTAAGTATACTTAGAGACACACCGTCAAATGTATAACTGAAAGTGTGACCTAAGTGCTAATCTAGATGCAGCATTTTAAAGAACAAGAGAAGCTTGTCAAGTGCAGAACATGTCTTCATAACTGACACAAGTGCTACTGATTCCCTACCGATTCCTTTCCCATAAACTGAATTTAATATTCAATGTATTGTCAGGCGTGGTGGCACAGGCCTGTAATCCCAGCACTGGGAGGCTCAACAGGAGGATCGCTGCCAGTTTGAAGCCAGTCTGGGCTCCACAGCGAGTTCAAAGCCATCCTGAACTACATAGCAAGACCCCATTTAAAAAAAAAAACCTTATCTGTGGCTCAGTACTATCTTATATTCTCCTTTCTTCAAGACCACTACTTAAACTATTTCCCATTTTTATTCTTTTATGCTAAAAGAGAAACATATCAAATTTGTCTTAATTCTATAGACGTGTAACCCAACTAAAGTTGCAATTAATCCACACAGTACCACTCCAGCAAGCACTTCCAATCACTTTGAACACTTACAGACTATGTTCATAAACTAATTTCAATAGTTACCACAAACCAAATACATATTCTGGCTAAGGACAGTAGCTCCAGAAAATGAAAAAAAACATAACGTAGCAAATGGGAGGAAAAGACACTTCTTTAAGAAAAGGAAAAAATATGAATATAGTATCTACTTTTAAAGAAGAAATCCAAGATTTTGAACTTCTGCCTCTACGAGACTGAATAAATGATTGTATTTCCCATAAAGGGAAAATATGAAAGGGAAAAAAGAAAACTTCAGCTTTAAATTTAATGTTGTAACACCAAATCACATTCAGTGAATTAGGGGTTTTATACAGGGAGCTGACGCAGATACTGTCCTGAATTAACAAACTAAAGACAGCCAATTATAAAGCTTTGTGCTTCACTGATGGAGACGCAGTAGTTAAGGTTCAGTTCTGTCCACAAGAGGAAAATACAAAAGAAAAGATCACTGAGATTTGAAGAAATAGCCACCACACAGTCAAGAAGAAGCAGGGAAACAGGAGGAAAAGATCAGGGTGTACTATAAAGTCACAGAAATCCAAGCAAGAGTTTAAAAATGGAGATCTGCTTATTCACATGATAGCAGGAATAAAATTTCACAACAAATCTGGAAGGTAACTGAAAAACTTTAATGCATATTAAAACAAAGTACTTTCACCATGATGACACAACCTGCCTACTTAAACCTGATATGAGTAAGGATGGCAAGGGAGAGACCAGTTAAGAGGTCACCGTGTAATCCAAGTGATACCCTGCTGCCTGAGACCAGGTCGGAACAGTAAAAGTGGTGAAAACTGATGTTTGACTTCAGCAACTAGAAGGCATATGATGACACATAATGGTCAACTCAGATGGGGAAAACTATGTGTAGTATAGATTCAGGGTGCCTGTATTAGATGTCCTAGTTCAGGTGCCACATGGGCAGCTGGGGGGGGGGAGGCACAAAACTGGAAATCACAGAGCATATGGTGCAAAGTGCCTGCTTAGTACATCTAAGGCGCTGGGTTCAATCCCCAGCACTACAAACAATTTTTGAAAAATGGAATTCACCGCTGGGCATGGTGGCACACACCTGTAATCCTAGCACTCAGAAGGCCGAGGCAGGAGGAGCATTGCGAGTATGAGGCCAGCCTGGGCTACAAAGTGAGCTCAAGGCCAGCCTGAACTGCATAGCGAGACCCTGTCTCAAAAAAGACCAAAAGATAAAAAATAAAAAATGGAATTCAGGAGAAAAGTCCTGATGGCAGTATTTCCAATATTGAACTAAAAATGATCACCTGAGAATTGTATTTACAAAGATGGTATTTAGAGCCGTAAGACTGATCACCAAATCTAACTGGACTGGACTAAGAGAGAAGATAAACACCAAACCTTGAGATACTTCAACCTTAATATCTAATAGAAATGTTCAAATAAATCACACTATCTAAATTTATATACATATACATAAAATATGTAGACTCATAAAGATGTTATTTTATTTGTAAACAAAAAAGTCAGTTAATGAAGTATACATCACATAAAACCATTAAAAAAGATAAAGATCAAATAACATGAAAAAATCTGAAGTATTTGTGGTGGTTACATCTAGGTGGTAGAGATACATGTACATTTTACGTTGTATATATGTATATATGTGTATATTTATAATTTCCTACAAATGAGAAATAATGAACATATAAAGAAATGATTTTTTTCCCCAGCCCTGGAAACTGAATCCAGGCCTTCAAACTGGGCTACGTTCCCAGGCCTTTTAAATTTTTTTTTATTTTTTAGACAAGGTTTTGCAAGGGACTAAGTTGCCCAGGCTAGACTCAAGCAATCCTCCTGCCTCAGCCTCCCAGAGTGCTGGAATTATATGCATGTGCCACCATACCCAGCAGAGAAAAAATAAACAATTTTAATAAAAAAGTGTATAAACTAAAAAAAATAATAATAATAATAATAGGGGGCTGGGGATTTAGCTCCATGGCATAGCGCCTGCCTGGCAAGTGCAAAGTCTCGACTTCGATTTCCGGTACCAGAAAACAAAACAAAACAAAACAAAACAAAAGTGTATAATGAACATTTAAATAGTACTGTTACTACTAGGCACCCTAGCAGGGTCCAGAAAAAGGATCTGGTAAATCAATTACTTTATAAAGATTGCAAGCAAATAGTCTATCCATGACTACAAACCTTTTAGAGCTTTCAATGGTAACAGCTGGCTATGGCACAAGTGCCACAGGTTTACCACCTCTGGTCTAACGTAAGACAGAAAAAGGCAAGCAGTGAAGGTAGAAGAAAATGATAAAGGCATGAAGAAAACAACACAAACTTACTTGTAATGTAAAGTAAGTTATATAAAGTTATATATTTATAGTTACATAAATTTGCAAAGTAGGAGCTAGGGGTGCACACCAATGCGAGGGCACTTGCCCAGCATATGGAAGGCGCTGAGTATGGTTCCAGTACTAATAGAACTAATTAATCAATCATTGAAATTTGCATGGTAGCTGGGCGTGGTGACACATACTTTTAATCCTAGCACTTCAGCCATTGGGACAGGAAGACCACAAGTTCAAGGCCAGCCTGAGCTCCAAAGTGAGACACTACCTCAAAAGACAAAAAAATGCAAGGTAAAAATTACTTTCATAGCTAGGTGTGGTAACCCACATCAGTAATCTTAGTACTCAGGAGATTGAGGCAGGAGGATCACCCTGAGTTTGAAGCTGGCTTGGGCGACATAGTGTGTTCAAAGCCAGTCTGAACTACATAGTGAGACTCTGTCTCAAAAAGACAAAAAAAAAAAAAAAAAAAAAATTACTTTCTTAATTGGGAGAAGTTTATAGGAGTCCAGGAAGAATAAGTCAGGAGACAAAAATATACACGAGATAGGAACATACACAGGTACAAGATCTTTTGTGTGTTCAAAAGGAATGAGTTCTACTAGTAGGTTAGCTTTAAAGGAGAATATTTTTACTCTCAGAATGATTTCAGTTGAAAAAAGTGAACTATAATAAAGTTGAGCAAAGGAGCTCAAAAGTGAGTGGTAGTGGTTCCCCCCCAATAATTGTGAATGCAGCTCGGTGGTACAGGACTTGCCCAGCCATGGGTTCAATCCCCACTACTGCAAAACAAGACAGTCTTTAACTGAGTAGAGAGGATTTCTAAAATGTGATGGCAAGCAACATGAGTGGGGACAAAGGAAAGTAAGTCTGTCTCCGTATGACTGGAATACTTACGCAGAGGGTTCTGTCCTTCACTTGCATAATATTCATACATGCCACTCTTAACCAGTGTGTCATAGTGAGGTAGGAAGTCAATTCGTTCTTTCGTAGCTGAGAGCAGTAGCTGATTGACCGACTGTAGCAGGTACAGAGTCACTCCATCTTTAACAGTTTCATCTGTAATCATGAATTAAAATTTTAAGTACTGGGGCATATAGCTCAGTGGCACAGCATCTGCTTGGCAAATGCAAGGTCCTGAGTTCAATACCCAGCACCAAAAAAAAAATTTTTAAGTGCTATATTAGCACCAGAAATGCAATGAACTTGCAGTTTCAAATATACAAATTTTACCTATGAAATGTCTTTAACAATGGTACAGGCAAACTTTCAAATAATGGATCTATAAATTCAGTTGTGTTAAATCAAATATCAAATGGAACAGGGATGGCAACACTTCCACTCATCTAATTCTTTACTTTTGTTTTGATTTTTTTTTTTTTTTTTTGGGTAGTACTAGGGACTAAACCCAGGGCCTTGTGTGTGCTAGCACAGGGCTCTACCACTGAGCTTATATCCAACCCTTTAACATTTTATTTTGATAAAGGGTCTTGCTCAATTGCCCAGGTTGGCATCAACTTTGAATTTTTCTGCCTCAGCCTCCCAAGTAGCTGGGATTACACATGTGCACTACCTCACCCAAGTGAAACACTCAATAAGTTACACTATCATAAGAAATCAGATGAGGGTCTGCATTAGAGTGGTACTAACAAGAACAGAGACAAAACTGGCAGGTCCTAGAAACTACTGTAGTGGGATAGAAAAAAAAGTGGGAAAACTCAATTCAGCTAAGAAAATCCACTTACTAAGAGCCCAAACAGAAAATGTATGGTAGGTGATCAAGTTCTCATCTGCAGGCCTAGATGATAATAACTATTATTCTATGATCACACTTGAAAAACATGATTTCTGGACTAATTATGCACACACAGCCAGTTTCTTCCCTCATCCCAACAGACTAATCACCACCAATAATTTTAGACACACATCTGTGTCACAAGTTACTGCTTTACAGATACATATTAAATGTGAAACTATTAGCTTAACAGCATTATTTACTTACCAAAATTATCACAAGTAATTTCCTTTCTGTTTGTTGTTGTAATAACGAATTTTTCTTCAGGTGAAATGCCAAGTGTCTGTCCAAAGTAAGTGAATAAAATCAATTACTACACAAAGGAAATAAATATATCATTCAAATTTCCAAGAATGTGAAAATACTGATAGTTGCTAGGGATATAACTCAGTAGCACAAGCGCCTACCCGGTAAACACAAGGTCCTGAGTTCAATTCCTGATACCAAAAAAATACTGATAGTGTATTATACCCCTGCAGCAATTACTATACTTGTCAAGGAATATATAACTCAGCATTTTTAAATTCTGCTTTTGCAGAGCCAGCAAAAGCCATATAAACTATTTGTTTAACAAGGTTTTACTACGGTCACCTAGAAATACCTAGGTGTTCCAGAAAGGTCAAATGATTTGGACCTTTTTAAAGCGTTTTAACATTAGCAGGGCCCACAAAGGTAAAGACATGCTATTTCATGCCATTATCAAGTATAATGTAATACTTACTTCATATAGAATAAATATTTAAATATGTAAAAACAAAATAAAAGAGGGTAATATTTTATAGCACTAAGAACAGCCATGCTATGGAGAATATCTGTATTAAAGAATCTTTACATCTACTATAATCCCTTTCAAAAGGATAACTTTAAAACATTAAAGTAAATTATGAAATTAATCATGAATGAAATGATTCATCAAATGAACATAATCATGTACTGATTAAAATATATATTAAATACATCTTTCAGAAATTATGAATTACAGGATGAAATTGAAAGAAACAAAAATCAAGAAGATCAATCCACTGAGTGTGTTGGTGCCCGCCTTTAACCCCAGACTTGGCGGGTTGAAGCAGGTTCGCCTGAAGTTCAGGCCAGCCTGGGTTACATAGCGAGTTCAAGGCCAGCCTGGACTATATAGTGAGACCCTGTCTCAGAAAAACAAAAAAAGGAGATGATGATGAAAAAGTGGCAAAGGTTAGTAATAGAAAGTGAAAAAGGATAAATAATTAAAAAGAAAAAAATAAAAATGATCAATGAATACGTTAAGAAATGAGAGTGAGAAAAGTGAGTTAACATTCTCATTTAAATTTAAAAGACACATACACTGCCTAAAATGAAACAACACAACAGTGTACAGTCAGGAGAGGTTTCTGCTTCAGGTACACACTAGCTAATCTAGACCAAACTTCCCACTTGAAAAAAACTAGACCAATGAGACTCAAACCTTAATACTGACACCCTTTTGGTCATTCCTAGAATTAACTAGGGTACTGAATACTGACAAATTTAAAGAGTAAAATCAACTATCCTGTCTTTCCTGTACCAACTGTATTTCAGGATAACCACACAGTCATAGTTGATGAAGCAATTAGTTGTTTAAAGAACTGTATGTCATAAATACAGGGAAAATCACCAAAATTAAAGGTTAAAAGACAGTACTTTGGGTCTGGGGATTTAGCTCAGCGGCACAGCGCCTGCCTGGCAAGCAAGAGGTCGTGAGTTCGATTCCCGGTGTGTGTGTGGGGGGAGACAATACTTTTGATTAATTAACCCGATTACAAACATGTATCTAAAAACAACACAAAAACATTAACAGAACTATTACAATCACAGTCCTTACTTCCCGTTAACCTTTACAATGTATGGCAAGACTAAAAAATAGGGATCTCCTGCAATTCAAATACACTCATCTTCAGGTAAAAGTTCATTTTTCATTTTTTCAGTTCATTTTTTCATTGTCCTATTCTTAGCAATCACATTTTCCTCTATTTCATCCTTGCAACCCAAAGCTCCATTACCACCACCCCTCTGGCCAAGTATTTCATATCATACTACTGGCTTTTTGCTCTTAATTTCAAACATAGATCTGGCCAAAAGCTCTCAACAGTAACCATGCAACTGTCCCAACAATAGACTACACTGAAATTCTGTTTCGCCAACCAGGCAGTATTTCTAAACACAAGTAAACTGCAGACCAACTTCTGCCAAAGCACAATATACTACCTGGGATCCAGCAGCCAATGCAGTCCTTCTCAGCTGAAGCGTCCTGAGCGGCACCTTTTTTTTTTTTTTTTCCCCTCTCTTTTCCCCAGTACTGGGAATCGAACTCACAACCTTGTGCTTGCCAGGGCACTCTGCCGCTGAGCTAAATCCCCAGCCCTGAGCTTCATCTTAATTGGTAGCATTTCCATCAGTACCCTGATTTTCCAGGCTCCAATCAGAGTTTCCAATACAGTTTGCAGCATATAAGGGCTGCCTCTTTGGCCAGTCTCTCAAAACATTTCCAAATTAACTCCGAAGGTTCTTAAGTCACACAGCAGGCAACATCACAACAATAACCCCACTCTCCCGGTACCAATTTTGTGTTGGTTTCGGGGAATATTTTTTCAAAGTGAAGCAATATAATACAAGACACATATTTTTACGATTATTTATAATAATTGCCCAAAGAGTGATATACAAAAGAGTGCAGGAAATCTGTCCACATACTAAGACCAAGGAATCCAGCTGAGGGCCTGGATCCCACAGAAATGGCCTGCTTGAGTCCAGCTTAAGACCAAGAGCTCATAACAATGCCTCCCACAAGTCCAACTGGAGGCCCAGAGCCCATAACAGTATCTCATGCAGGCCTGTTTCATGGATCTGTGCTGGGAAGGCCCAAAGGTCAGTGGTGGAATCTAGGAAGTCTGTGCCAGGGGGATGAAGGATCAGTGCTACCAGGCTGATGGATCTGCACTGGAGCCAGGAAGCAACGCTCAGAAGAACCAGAGCTCCCTGAAAGGTACCACAGCCATCCTCAGCAACAGTGAGGCCCCGAGCTCCTCCGATGATCAAGATGACTGAGTTCCCATCAGGGAAGCCAATGCAGCGAGCTTCTCCAGAAGACCCGCAGTGCACAGGAAGCAATGCTCAAAATGAGGACCAGAGCTCCCCCGAAGTGAACCTAAGCTATTCTCAGTGCCAACAAGGTCCCAAGCTCCTCAAGGATGAAAACAGCCAAGTTCATCAGGAAAGCCAGCATGACGAGCTCCCCCAAAACGAACAGCTCCTTACAGCTTCCACCAGCTCCCAACAGCCTTTCTCCTTCTCCAGCTCTGCCTCTTATGCTGCTGGCAACAATCCCCAGGTGGGGCTCCTACACCCAGCACCACAGGTACTCAGTTTAGCTGGGGGTTATAGGTTGCCCACAAGTTATCAATCCACTACAACGTAAATCAGAATTATCACCATCAGCAGATGAACTATTAGATCAAAATTTTATTCTGGAATAGTCCAGGTGAATCTAGGGGAACAGTCCGGGTGAAACACACACATATTATGCCTGACGTGATTTCATATGAAGTAACTAGCACTACCTACAATGTACTCTTTGTCTCAGGACTGAAAGAAACTGAACCTAAATCTAACCCAGTCTTTGAAGATAACTTCTGGTGTCCCAAATATATAAGGAGATAAAACAAGTTAAGAGACACCATAAAAGAGCACAGATGAGCCAGGTGTGGCAGTGTATACCTGTAATCCCACTACTCAAAATACTGAGGCAGGAGGATCTCAAATTTGGGGTCAGCCTAGGACACTGACTGAGACTTTCTCAAAAACGAAAGTATTGGGGATACAGCTCAATAGTAGAGGGTCAGCTCAGTAGTAGAGGGTCTGCTCCGTATTAAGGGGGTGGGGAGTGGAACAATAAAGAGGGTATCTTAGTTACTTTTCTCTTGTTGCTGGGTCAAAGTACCCAACAACTAATGCTAAAGGGGAAAAGGTTTATTCAGCTTACAGTTTATGGAAGTTTCAGTCCATAACCAGCTGCCCTAAGGCAAGGTAGTGTGGCAGGGTAAGAGAAAGGAGGGGGAAAAACAAGCCTCTTTTTCTGCCCCTTTTATCTTATCCAGACTTTTGAGATTAGAGCAGTGCCAATCCAATCTGTGGACTGATCCAGCAATCACTCATCCTTAATCCCAGCACTGACTACAACTCAATCACAAACTCTAGATTCAGCTGGCCACAAGAAAGACCCACCTAAAAGTGCATGAGGCACTGAGGGGACATCCAACACAAGCCAAAACAGAGAGTGAAAATAATAGAGGGAGGTAATTTTGAAAAGGTAGGAAAGAATTTCTGAAAAGACAAATCTTGAAAGCCAAAAGGAAGGCAACGGCAAGCAAGCAAAAGCACCGAAAAGACACCCAAGATTTAGAGACAGTTTTATTTACATGATGAGCACTGATCACTGACCACTGATCTGGATCATTCCCAGAATATCAGGCCCCAATCTCTGGTGGTCTAGGGCTTATATGGGATAAGCAAGCACCAAAAACAGAGGCAGGATGGCTTGTCAGTTTATACAGTGCGCATCACAGTGACTAGCGGTTTCTAAGAGACAGGAGCAGCCAGGACTGGAACAGGAACTATTACCTGGGCAACTAAGAAACTAAACTACCCTGGCTGCGGGGCAGGCATTTTCCGTTCCAGAAAAGACTAGAAATATGAAAAGCTGTACTATCTCACTAGTTTTCAGAGACATTAAAATAACTTCATACCACTCCATCAGACAGATAAAATTTTAAATTCTGATCCCTTTAAAGGGTAGACTTCCATTAAAGCAATTAGAAGCCTACACATTGCTGACAGGATTAGCACTGTACAACCATATTAGAAAACAATTTGGCATACTTCAGCAACCTTTTACTTCTTTCTTATGCAATTCTACCCTACAAAAATGAAGCCCTGGATACAAATTAAATGGGGATAAGACACAGAAATTGATCTTACAGATTTGGAAGGGGCTGGAATGGGGACAGGATCTTATGTTGCCAAGGCTGGCCTCAATCTTTTGATTCTCCTGTCTCAACTTCCTAAATAGCTGGGATTACCAGCATGCACCACTGCCATGGTTGGTCTAGATATTTATTAGGTTTCTATACAAACGGAGCAGTTAGTTTTTTTGTTTGCTGGCGGTGGTAGGTATTGAACCTATGGCCTTCACATTGAGCTACATCCCCAAACCTTTTTATTTTTTGTTTTTTTGAGGCAAGTTCTTGCAAAGTTGCCCAGGCTGGGTTC